TCTCTCTCTTCCATGAGTGTATCTTAAAAATTGAAAATAATCAATAATGCCCCAATGCTCCCCCCCCCCCCCATTCCGGAGTCTAATACTTGTACTTCGCGGCGTTCAGACTTTGAATGAACTTTGGTGACCCCAACAACCGGTGCTCACACGATGCGGTATCTTGTGACTAAGGTTCACTGAGCTGCCACGGCGGCGAACCCGACAAGACGCTTGTATGACTTTCTTTTCTTTTTTTTTCTCCAAAAATGACAGCACAGGACAAATAATATTGATTTATTTTCACGGTTGTACATTTTTTAAAAACAAAAAATAAGGGCAAGGCAAAAATTGCCGCGGTTAACCCTTTGATTTTAACGGCATTACGGCAAATTGCAAAGGCACCAAGGCAAATTGCCGCGGTCTATTTCAAGCCCTGATATATATATATATACATTTTGCTAGCACTTCTCTCTTTCTCTCTCTCTCTTTCTCACACACTCTCTCTCTCTACCGGGTCTGGGCCCTGAAACTTTCCGAAATCACAAAAGAGTTCCCCTACTGGGTCTGTATACTTCATGACTTTGTTCCTGGTTACCGGGTCTGTATACACTTCGTTTTCACAAAGTAAAAGCAAGGGGGGTTGCCCCCCTGACTTAAAAAAAAGGCCGGCACTATTTCTCCGAACGTTCGGAAAAATAAAGCTGGGTACTATTTCTCCGAACACTCTGAAATCACATCCTTTCCGCAAATTTCCGATATTATATAGATCTATAATTACAGTATAGGCCTACCAAAGATTGTTCGTATACAATATGGTTCAATTGGTCCAAAAAATGTCCGCAGTAAATATTTATAAAGAAACGCTACAGTTCCAAACAGTTTTTCGCTACAGATATGACGTGTTGCCTATGAAGGGTGCTGCTCTTAAACTTAATGTGTTGTGTTCTCTCGTGTGCTGTCTAGTCTAGATCTACGGAGGGTTATTGATAACGACAAATAGAACTAGCATAGATATCTGCGTTTGTCGCGGCCGCGACCTATCAATCGTGGCTCAATTTTTTGGCATTTTTTGGTCCCCAAATCGGAGAATAAAAGTCAAAGAAAAAAAAGAAAGAAACCGAACCTCTTTACTTTTGAAAGAAAGTTCACCTAGCTTCACTTCGTCTCTTTCTCACTTGTTGTCACCACGTTAATTTGTTGAATACGTTACAGTTACTTTTATTTTTCCCTCTTTGTGGTGTTTTATTTTGTTAGTGTGTATTTTTTTCTTTTTTTCTTTCTTGTTATTGTTCTGATGTGTTGTTTTTCTATCAATTTTTTAAAATGGGGAAAAGGGGTGGTGGGGGGGGGGGGGGGGGTTATATAGTGTAATGTCATTTAATTTGATGTTCCTACCTTCATTAGATTCTAAATATATATACATGTATAAATATATAGATTTAAATGTGTTATGTTAGAGCGTACGTTCCACCAAAACCGATCACATGTACTGACACTGGCAGGCCCCTTTAAATGTGTGCGATTCCATAATTTACTTGTAATATCCTGTACTTTGTTTTAAAATTACGCACATTTAGTGTTAAAACAGCCAATCTTCTTCGGACAGGTGGACTCACGCCCTTATTTGTTAATTTTTGTGGTTGTTTATGGGATGTTCTAATTTTGATTTCATTTTGTTGTGAAACCTTTCTACTTTCTTTTTCACGTTTTTACACTCATCTAAAAATCTCTAGACTAGCCAGACTAGCTCTTGAAAATTGAAATAGATATAGACCTAAAAATTTGCTCGTGTGTGTGTGTGTGTGTGTGTGTGTGTGTGTGTGTATGTGTGTGTGCGTGTATGCATGTGCGTGTGTGAGTGTGTCTGTGTGTGGTAGTTAAGTGTGTAAGTGGAGAGTGAGGAGCGTTTGTTTTTCGGGCTTTATTCAGTGACAGTTCAAAGTATACAAAAATAGAAACACAGGATCCATTCACTCCAGGGCTCATGAGTCGTTCCTCTCTTTCAGTTTCACTCATTCATTCAATTCCTGTGTTCTCTCCCGCGGCTCATCGCCGTCCGCATGACTTTCACACCCCACCCCCTCCCTCCAGGCACACACAAAGAAAATCTCACACATTCCCTTGCTCCCTGCGAACCATGGACAATAATATAGGCAAAACACTGCCTTAGCCGCGTTCCTTTCGTTCGTGAGCTGTGGACCAGGCCAGGGGGATCGGTGTCGTCGTCTTGTAGTTGCTGTCGCCTGTGGATACACTCGTACATTCTTCCTTTCACCTGCTCTTTCACTCATACTGTCTCTCCATTCACAGCTCAGCTCGTCATACGTTCAAAAGTTGCCCACTGATCATGTTTAGTTAGTGTGTGTATAAGTTTGTGTGTGTACATGTGCATGATGGTGGTGGGTGTGTGGTGGGTGTTACTGAAGGTTGTCTGTAGGCGGGCTTGCCATGCGGTGTTCCTTCCCAATCCAAGACCAGAGGCAGAATGAAAGTTGGCGCCGAACTCTTGCAATAAATCACGAGACCGGAAGTTGGAAACCGTTCGGAGAAATAAAGATCGGCACTATTTCTCCGAACGTTCGGAGAAATAGAATCTAGTAACTTCGTAAAAAAAACACAAAGGCCACCTCTATTCTCACCCGGGATGAGAATAGTGCAGGCGAGTCTTTTGGCTATTCTCACCCGGTGCACGTTCACCGTTATAGCCTAGATCTAGGCCAACAAATTTTGCGTAGAATTCTACACTGTGATAACAGAAAAATTGTAGAATTCTGTGCCGTGAACAAACGTTCCATTACAACTGTAGCCTACTAAAAGCGTACAATTTTGTCTGGGCAGTGGAGAGAGAGAGAGAGAGAGAGAGAAAGAGAGAGAGAGAGAAAGAGAGAGAGAGAGAGAGGAGTAGTGCGAGAACTTCCAGGCAAAACAAAATGGCGACCCGCGTAGTTCGGCTCGATTCGAAAAGTTAAATAGGCGTAGCATCTTTGTAGACAACCAAATTAATTTACTTTTGTGTTTTAACATCATTTTTTAACTTTGTTTTGGTCAATTTGATCGTCCACACCGATAGACAGTATTCAGAAAGAGACAGAGAGAGAGAAGAGGGGAGGAGTAGATCTTGCGAGAACTTCCGGGCGGGTGAGAATAGCCACTTTCAAACACAAAACTTGGGTGTTTCAGGGGGGCATGCCCCTCTGAATTTGACCATGACTTGATGTTTTTTTGCAATTAGTATTAGAATCTAGATCTAGACCTAGATTCTAGATCTAGATCCAGGTTTGAAAGGCTATCTCTCCGGCACGCGAATCAACAAAAATATAACAATTATTCGCTTGTTGTGTGTGTTTCGTACCTTCTCTGCGCATCCAAACCCCACAACCTGATTTGGCGATCATACAGTTCGGCTTCATCTTCAGTAATATTTTCCATGATGATCTAATTAGAATCTAGAGAAATCTAGAAGTTTGGCGTCCACTTGCACCAGAGTAAACTGTCTATTGGAACAATAGACTAGCCTTTTCTATTGTTTTAGATAGCAGTCAGAGCTCAACGCTTGCCGGTTTTTCTTTCTCCTCCAATCTTTATAATATTTTTGCTCAAAAGAGTTCCTCCAATAATGAGGACATCACACATCACTCTGGATACCTCGTTGGTTTGAAGTTGGAACTTCCGGTGTCGAGGCGAAAGCGAAACAAGAGACAACATTGATCAACAAAAACAAACTCAGCAGGAGTGCACACGTGTGGAAGAAACTGAAATGGCTTCGAAATTGGGCAGTAAGCAAAGTGAACAGTTGTTCTCAGCGACAGAGTTGGAGAAATTGGTGTGTACCACTACTACTAGATCTCTGACTGATGTTCATTATAATAATAAAGAAAGTGGCTATTCTCACCCGCCCGGAAGTTCTCGCAAGATCAACTCCTCCCCTCTTCTCTCTCTCTCTGTCTCTTTCTGAATACTGTCTATCGGTTTGGACGATCAAATTGACCAAAACAAAGTTAAAATATGATGTTAAAACACAAAAGTAAATTAATTTGGTTGTCTACAAAGATGCTACGGTGGCTATTTAACTTTTCGAATCGAGCCGAACTACGCGGGTCGCCATTTTGTTTTGCCCGGAAATTCTCGCGCTACTCCTCTCTCTCTTTCTCTCTCTCTCTCCACTGCCCACAGATAAAATTGTACGCTTTTAGTAGGCTACAGTTGTAATGGAACGTTTGTTCACGGTACAGAATTCTACAATTTTTCTGTTATTTATCACAGTGTAGAATTCTGTGGTTTAGGGTGAACGCAAAATTTGGTGAACGCGCACCGGGTGAGAATAGCCACAAGACTCGCCTGCACTATTCTCACTCCGGGTGAGAATAGAGGTGGCCAATAATAAATAGAGATCTATCTAGATCCAGATCTAGATCTAGAAGATTAGATCTAGATCTTGATCTAGTCTGGACTCTACAATTAGATTTTAGATTCTAGATCTAGATAGATCTAGATTTAGATCTAAGTCTAGCAGTGAAATGATTAAATGAATAATTTTGAATTGGAATTATTTATAGACACGCACGCTGGACCAACTTAAAGAAATGGTGTGCAATTATAAGTTAACACCCCTATCAACACTAATAATGTAGCGGTAGTCTGATTTGACTTACTTATACCAAGATTGCCAAGAAGTAGATCTAGGCTAAATAGTTGAGAAGTTAGAGTTAGATTCGATGATCTTGTAGATTCTAGTTCTGTTCGTTAAAGTCCACCACCCATTTGTTTACATCCAGAGAAGAAATCCGGAAGTCTTGATAACCAAATATGCAACACAAAGAACAGGGATGCAACCTTACTGCATTGCAAAACATCAAATTATGGTAAAATTCAGAGGGGCATGCCCCCCGAACCCCCCCCTCCATATAAAATTAGGTCAGGGGGGCAACACCCCCCCCCCCCCCCCCTGAAACCCCCCTACTCTTGACTCTTGGAACTCCGAACAGGCGAATGATAATTGGGGGTGGGAACTGCCGAAAAAGGGCCATTCTTTGCTTGAATAGACTCCTTGGAAGACAACGAAGACAGTACTGAATAAGGTCCAGACTTTCATCAACAGATGCATGAGGAGTATTTTAAGAATTAAGTGGCAGGAAAGAATGAGAAATGAAGAGCTGTGGGAAAGGACAGGACAAAAGGATATAGAAGTAGAAATAGGACTAAGAAAGTGGCGATGGATGGGACACACCTTAAGAAAGCCCAGTGGAAACATCACAAGACAGTCACTGCAGTGGAACCCACAGGGAGCACGAGGCAGGGGTAGGCCACGGGGAAACATGGAGGAGATGCGTGGAAAGGGGCATGAGAGAAATGAAGCTCACTTGGAACGAGCTTGGAAGGATGGCTCAGGACAGAGATAAATGGAAGGAGCTTGTATGTGGCCTATACCCTGCCAGGGGTGAAAGGCATTGATGATGATGATTTGCTTGAATTTTGATTTTCTCCTCAACGATTACCTGGCAATTGAGGGTCTCTGGCGTTCAGCTTTGGACATTAACGAACGAAACTACAAAATCGCTCTAGATTCTACTATAACTATAATAATATGATTTGCGAATGGAGTGGCCCGTGCGCGCGTGTGTGTATGTAAGGTGTGAATGGGGCATGGGGCGGGGTGGGATTTTTTGGTTTTTGTTTACATGAAGGATTTTAGTTTTTAGTTTTTTCTTTGGGGTGGCTGAATGCAAATTCTCGCAGTACGTTTTGAAGGCATTTCCAAATGAAGTTTAGTCCGGGAACGTTGCCCCAATCACAACTGAAGTATCTCAATATTCAGACATTTAATAATTTCTAGCTCTAGAAATTGAATGCGAGGCAAAAAATGCTTCTTCCCAGTCCTCGCAGAATGCCAGAATGAAAGATGACGCCTAAATCTCTCAAATAATAAAAAAAAATCTCGAGAATGGAAACCGTTAGGAGAAATAGAGATCAAGTTTATTTTCCCGAGCATTCGGAGAAATAGTCACTTCGTAATAATATAGATCTAAATCTAGCTTTGATTAGGTTAGACCTGAGTCACAGTCACAGTTGTGGTGTTGAGAACTGTCTGAGAGGTGAGAGGGTGTTCAATAGTGCAGGCCTAACTTTGGCAATCTCCAGTTTTGGCCCCAAGAGTAATGAAATATATCAATAATAATAACTTTAACTTGTGTTAGAGTTAGGTTAGGAGTAGCATTGTAGGATAATTCAGCATCAGTTTTCCATACAATGAAAAAAACTGAACCCTCCCATTTGTGACTTTTTGAGGACATATTTTTCCAGTTCAAAATGGAGGAACAAATGTAACAATCCTCACAACTAAACAACAGGCCTCAGTGACCTCATACAGGGAAAGTGTGTTTTTTTGCACACACTGTTCCAAAGTCCTGCTCATTGCTAATGGAAAGGTGCCTCTTTATACAAGAAAAAACAGTTTTGTTGCGTGGAGACCAAACCCATTTCCTTGTTACTTTTTTCACTCAGAAAAACATCTCTTTTTTTGACTGTTTTTTTATCTTACAACATGGACTTTTAACAGTTTTTCCAGCTTATCAGAGATTCCTCACCATCTTTTCTCTTCATTTGTACCAAAATAAGTATGCTTGTGTCTTTTGATATTTGCAGTTGAGATTCAGAATAGACTAGGAACTTAGTAAACACAGGGCTTGAAATAGACCGTGGCAATTTGCCTTGGTGCCTTTGCAATTTACTATAAAATGCCCTTAAAATGAAAGGGTCATCCGCGGCAATTTTTGCCGTGCCCTTGTTTTTTGTTTTTTAAAAAAGTGACACCATGAAAATAAATCAATATTTGTCCTGTGCAGTCACTTGTGAAAAAAAAAAGATAAGAAGTTATACAAGCATCTCGTCTGGTTCACCACCGTGACCGGTCAATGAACCTGCGCGTTCGCATCACAACTTAATCACAAGATACGGCGTCCTGTGAGCACCGGCAGTTGAATGGGGGGAATTATTGATTAAAAAATTTTTTAAGATACGCTTGTGGGAGGGGGGGTTGAGGACATCTTGTCAGAGTTATCTGAAATCTCATCCAAACTTCAGTCAGACACTGCTCAGCTTGACCATTGTGTCCATTTTGTCATGGCTAGTGCAAACACACTCACATCAATGATAACCAAACCTCAGCACTGTCTGAAAAAAGCTCTTGAAGAAAAAGAAGACTGCAGATGTGAGAGAAAAAGTGCAAGCATGATGATTTACAAACAAACCATGAAAGATGTGTTGGATAAGTTGGTGCTGTGCTTGGAAGAAAGATTTTCTGGCACATCAGAAGATACAAGTTTTAAAGAGTGCAAGGATATTTGAAAGGACAAGTGTATCTGGAATTGGCAAAATGGATGAGCTGAAAGAATATGGTGAGACACAGATGGATGACTTGATAGCTCATTATGAGACTGTTTCTACTCCATGGATGCTCAACACTCAAAAATAAAGAAACAATGGCTCATGTTTCTCTCCGAAAGTCAGGGCTTAATACCTGTGAATGAGAACAAGACAAGTTCAATCCTGAAAAAAAGCAAGGAAATTTCCCAATATGCCTCATTTGGCTCATATAATCTCTGTTATAATGCCGTCATCCACAGCCAAGGAAGAAAGGCAGAGTTTTCCTTGATGAAGCGCATCCTTGGTGACTGGAGGCATTCGCTTCCCAGAGATATTCTAGAAAAGATCATGAATTTTATGCCCCAATGGTCCTGAGATCAAAGAATTCAAGGTCCTGATAAAACAGCCCTATTCTCTGAAATCATCTTCTCTGGTGATACTTTAAAAAAATTCACTTGTTTTTTTTTCCCAAAAGGGACAAACAGTTAGCCAGTTTTTTTCTATCTGTGTGTGTCAACATATGTTCAATATTCTGATCTAGTCATAAGTTACAAAATGACACGCTGATTGTTTAGGTCTTTTATAACATACTTTAAAAATAGGGGGCTCGTGGCCAAGAGGTTAAGGTGTTGGCCTCTCATTCAAAGGTCCCGGGTTTGAATCCAGGTAGCGACCGAAAAATTTTCTTCTGTAAGATTGTCTCCTTTCACCTCCTTTCCTGCTCCCCCTCACCTCGTTTGCCCCCTCCTCTGGGCTCCTGACTCTTTCTGCAGCCTTTCTACTGCTACTCCTTGGCTCCTTCTTACTGCTGTCTTTCTGCCACACTCCTGATCTTCTGGTAGGAAAGATCTACACCTAGCCTTCTCGGACAAGGGCGAAAAATCTCGGAGGGCCCATGTGCAAGTTGTGCACGTTAAAGGTCCCTTAGTGGTCTAAAATCGATAAGAGTAGGCTTTGACCGCCACCCGGGCAAAATTCGAAATTTCTTATCAACTGAAAATATTAGGATATTAGGTGTGTCCCGCGCACTCATATGACCTTATGCAGTTGCAAGCGCCGTAAAACACTTACCCCCAAAAAACCCAAACTTTAAAACATGTATTTTCAAAACTTGTTTTCACTTATCATAATCATAACCGTGTAGAATCTACTGTTTAACTGCTGGACAGCAGTTTTTAGTTATTCATTCTTTTTTCCATACAAGTTCATAAGTTGTTTTCACTCCTCATTTTTCTTTTTTATACAAGTTCAAAATTTTTTTTCATTTACCATGATTTGTTTTTATTTTATTACTAACTGCCTGTAAACCGCTCTGTTTGAATCTCATTAATGATTAATGTCTTACCTAATTGGTCATATTATTTACTGTTTTCTATCGTGCCCTATTGTCAACAGTCATATTCATTATTCATATATATCAATTATCCAATCAATAAGAGCTAGTCATAAAGGCATTTAAGTCAGAGATGCAATCGTGATCATTACATGAATTTGATTTAAAACTATGATTTTTAGTGGTTTTTGATGTGCTGATGTGATTTTACTATGATTTGCTTACTTTTCTTTCATGATTTTACAAATTTTCCAAAAACTATACTTTTGTAGAGAGCAAGAATAAATGGCATTGTTATTTATATAAACGTTGCGATGCATGGTCCGTATGTATTACCAACTTTATTCCACAAAATGATCACCTATAACTTTTGCCTTGGTGCCCTAGCAAATTGCCTCGGTGCCCTCTGATTTTTAGGCCCCACCGAGGCAATTTTTATCTGCCCTCCTGAACACCTAATTCAAGCCCTCCTGTAAACGTTACTGGTGGAAGGGCCCATTGTTGTAGACTTTTGGTTTACGGCAAAGTTGGATGTTTATATTTCCCAGGCACGTAAAATCGTCATCATTTGTTTAATTTTTTCTCAGCACTGAAAGATATTTATGTTTTGATATGACCAATTCCTTGTTCAGTTAGTTTGCATGCAGTGAGCAAGTCTCTTGGTTCTTCAATCAGTATCAGTGCATTCTTATCTTAAATTACAGTAGAAGTCCACTTTTATTAAAACCAAAATATCTGCAGGAACATTTGATTTTTTATGATCTAGCACAATTAGAAGAAGAAAAAAGCAGGTTTTTATTTTCTTTCTTTTTTTGCAGCTTTTGGATTGACTATGTTTGATTTGAGCAGACCCCACTATATTTGATAAAATTCTTTTTACAGAGGAACGTCTTTGTGTACATGGATCAAAGAAATGTCTCTAAGCTACCTGCGGACGACCAGCAACGTAAAAAGGAAATGTTGGAGTTTTTAGAACTTTTAAGAAGTTTCTCTAAGATGAGTGCAGGTAACAAACAGAGGTGGTTACTGGGTATTTTGAACTGGAATACATTTCTTTCGTGTTTCATAATTCAAACTCTTCTGAAAGTCTGTACTTATGTGGAAGACCACTAAAACTCATTATGAGATCCTTTGAAGTGAGTTGTCTTGCTTGTCTCTGAGACAAGGGAAGGAACTTCCTTCCCTTTTTTTTGGGGGGGGGGGGGATAGGAGGTTGATGGGTTTAATTGTTTTGTTTTTTGGTTTGTTTTAAGCTTTCCTATTTTGTACAATTTAACTCAACCTGCTTCTTCTTTCCTGTCACAACATCTATCGTCCTTATCTCCCCTTCTTTTTTATGTTTGTTACTCTCTTGTAACAGCTCTAATCTTCTGGCGCTCATATGACCGTATGCAGTTGCGAGCGCCGTGAAACTTCTACTAAAACTAAAAAAAACTAAATCAACCTGGTGCAATGTCTAAGGGTGCAGTAATGACTTTTAGAATGTTGATAATTTCATTGTAACCATTTTCATCATTCACTTCTTTCCCAGAGCATTTTTTTGTGTTGTCTTCCTGTCTTAAGTTTTGACACCATTATTAGTGATTTTGATGAGCATTTCATTTTTCTTGCTCTTTCAATTCACCTTTGATTTCAGTATATCATCGACGCAGACAAACACACAAATTGAAGGCTGACTTTAGAGACTTTTTGCCACGGTTCACTCACCTTCTTCGAGAGTGTGTGGTCAATCATCAGTGGCCACAGGCTCTCCAGCTCATCCACGCACTGACAACTGAGCATTACAGAGCTGACACCTCCATTTATCATGTAAGTAGCTGGGGGAGAAAATTCCTTGAACACTTTTCATTCTATGGCGTAGGCTGTTATGGAGCAGTTTTTTAACTTGATTTTTTTGTTTTCAACATCTTTCCTGACAACAGGTATTTGGATGAAGAAGGGTTCCTCTTTGTTTATATTTTTCAGAGTGGGGGGGGGGGGAAATCCCTCTTTTGTTTATGTAATGGATCCTTTTTTTTTTATTGGTGTCGGTCTAAGCACTTATTTTTCAAATAATTCTCTGGATGATTGTCGTTGTGCTTCTGCTTCTCTTCAATTGATATTTCAATTTCAGGTTGGAATGGCAGCGTTGTACCAAGTTCAAGAAGACAGGACACCAATGATTGATCAATTTGTGAAGTGAGTTTAAACACCATGGTGTCTGTTTTTTTATTTATGTAAAGTCTCTTTGTTACAATTTCTCTCTGTGAGTGCTCCATCAATCACTTTCATTGTTGAATGCAGGGAAACACTTAGACACAGTTATGGTTATCAAGTGTGGAATATGTGTATTACAGTAAATGAAAGCTTTTGTAATATATTATTATCCTTAATATTTTTATTTACGCTTTTTTCTGGCTGGATCACAAATGGGATCATATGAATTTTATCTTTACTCATGTGAAATATACTGTCAGGAAACATGCCGTAACGAATTATTTTAATTCATAGAAAACTATGTCTCATTTTAAAATTAAAAATAGTATCAAATTCAGAACCATCATATCAAAATTAACAAAATGACTTTTGGTTGACTATTTTTCTTGCTGGATTTTGGAGATCACAAAGAGAAGTAGGGCCTATTTTTTGCCAAGATTGTATCTTGTACTATTTTGTAATCACACAGAGAACAGACAACTCTCAGTTTTACCCGAAAGTGTGATTTCCCCCTTTAGTGTGTTTTCCCCCTTTAAAGTTTCATTCAAAAGGATTTCGTGGTAGGCAACTATATGGTGTTGTCATACCATTTTGCTGCTTTAGTTAGGTTAAAAATGTCTTTCATATAAAGTAGACAAGATTAAAAGAAAAATCAAAATGAAGACAGAAGAATTAAGGAAACAAAATATTTCTCAAGTGTTATCATGAATATTTGGCTATAAACTAAAGAAGTTTCATTAGTGTAGGTTAATAAAAAGGAACGGGATGGTAAACGATTATGACATTGGATAATGGGTTGGGCGGAAAATGTTGAAAGCAGGATTTAATGTTCTATATGTGTCAGTTTTGTAAAGTAAACCATTTGTTGTGGGTGGTTGGCGGGTGCGCTGGTGTGGTTTGCTCCTTCTTTCCAATAAAAAATCTGTCGTCTCTATCTCCCCTCCTTCTTTTTTGTGTTTGTTACTCTCTTGTAACACCTCTATTCTTCGGCACTTATATGACCTTATTGTGTTGCAAGTGCTGTAAAACTCTTACTAAAACTAAAAACCATTTGTTTTACTCTAGCTAGAGGTGTTCAGTATTCTTTCTTTTTGCTAAGAAATAAATACAGGCAAACTTGCTCTAAGGGCCAGCTGTATAAGACAGTCGCCTGTACAAGCAGCCACTTTCCAATTTCCGCCTTGCAATTTTTATTTACATTATAACGGCACTGTGTAAGACAGCCACTAGTCTCATCGATAAAGGGTGGCTGTCAAAGACAATTTTGACTGTTGAGTCAGACCTGCTCTAACTGCCAACTGTATATGACAATCACTTTTCCAAATTCCACCTCCCATTCCTCCTTTGCATTTTATTAAGACTATGATGACACTTTGTAAAACGTTTGCATGTCTAAAACAGCCACTTTTCTCTCGGACAATGGATGGCCGCCTTAGACAATGTCAGCTGTAGGTAAAGAGCACTGTCAGCAAAAGTTACCAGACTGTTCCAAGTCCTACTTAATTACTTCCTTAGACATTTTATAATGTATATTTTGATGCTTTTTTCCAGTATTTAATGACAATGATAATGCCAATGTACTTCTTTTTAACTCCAACAAATCTTACATGATGGAGATATGCTTGCTCCCATTCTTTTTTGGTTGGAAGTTTTCATTGATGGAAAGGAAATCTTACTTCATGATTATTGAAAAATATGTTGTTGCCATCACGTGCGTTACTTTGATGTCTGACTGTCTCTACCGTCATGCTTAACACAGCAAACGCAACACATTCCATCTAAAATCTTTGGAGAATATGTTTAAAGGAATCGTTTTACCGGTCTGTGTCTGCCCCTCACATGGCTTCGATATCATCGTTTTATTTATGGATGCCCATGCAGGCCACCTTAAAAATAATGGTCAGATTTGTAAAAAGTGTGCCGTTTTTATCATTTTCATTAAAAAAATTTATTGCAGACAAGTGTGTCGTTTACGACAAGTGGTTTCTGTGGAAGTGTACCTGGATTATCTTCTTTACCTCATAAATTTTGGCAGTCTGGAGGAGGCCAAAGATCTCATTCAGGTGAGGAGTGATAGATTTGTTCTCAGAGATGAAAAATGAATTTGTCAAAGTTTTTTCTGTTTTCTCCTTCTTCATATTATCAGCACAATTGCCCATTTTGGATGATGTGAGTCTTGAATTTTGTCCCAGCTTTTTGGTTACTTGGATTGAGTTCAGAGCAACTGTTTGCCTTTACAGTGTAATTGTATCTAAGAGGAAGCATTACCTGGTGTTGAAGGACCTTAGAAAAAAAAAAAAATTCTAAATTCTCTCTCAGGGAATACTTTGTTTTGTTAGTTTTTCTATTAGATCTTAAACAGGGACTGTTTGGCTTATTATGATCAATCTATAACAGGTTTTTTTTGAGCTCTCTTCCTTGTTATGCTGACTCACCGTGCTAAATTTTATGTTAGTATTCTTAATAAGGAAGAAGGTTGTGGTTGGTGATGGCTGAAGGCAGGCTATCTTCTCTTAGTACCATACCACAGTATCAAGTCAAGAGGTGGAGATGATAGATAATCATTGGCTTTTGAAATTTTAGATTCATTCATAAATTTTGTTTTTCGGTGGTTTGTAAAAATGTGACTCTCCAAAAGCATTCTTGGCATACAGTGTAATTGATTCAAATTCTTTTCTTCAGGATATGAAAAGAAGCACCTATACAGTACAGATAAATACAGAAAAGCGTAGAGAGGCACAGACACTGTTTTATGCTTACCAAGGTCTTGTTTTATATGTTGAGTGGAAGCTTATGGTGTCAAGAGAACAGGATCAAGACTTGGATGAAGGTAAATATCATTGCTGTTCTGCTCCTGGTCCAGTGATGTGTCAATGTATGATGGGATTTTGCCCCTAGGTTCAGTGTCATGCTCCAGTATGTGTTCAGGGTTAATGGTTGCTTTAGTGGCACCGATGTCTATGGTGTAGTGGGTAGGTGGTTCTTCGTTGCATGCAGAAGACCTCAGTTTGATTCTTGTGTGGGAAAAATTTTTATTGAGTATCGTGGCCCAAACTTCTGCAGGACCGCTGTGTCCCTCTCAGACCGGTTTGAGTTGACTGGCAGGGTTAAAGGCCACCTCCAAAATGATCTAAATTGTGTTGATTGGGGTGTAAATATACCTCTGTATTTAAAAAAAAGGTCATTTCAGTTTTTGCTTTTGTGGCTGTATTGTCTCCTAGAGTGGAGTGTGATATAGATCTAGGTTTTGGTGTATCATTACGGTCAGAGTTGAAATCTTCAAGCAATTCTGTTTTCTTCATATGCTTCTCTTTTTATGCTAAATAAAAATAAAATGGTTGTAGTTTTTTCTTGTTTAGTGGTTATGATATATTGTATGACAGTTATTTTTTCATGAACTTTTATGTTTCTCTGCTTTTGAAAAAAAGTACAGGTATTTGTCTTAACACCACAATCCTTTTTTTAACCACAATTTTTGAGGGGCATTCTTTATTGTTATTACATTTACATACTGTCTTAGAGATGGCCATTTTGTTGATTGAACCAGAGTAAGTTTTAGATTAGTAGCATCTTTTTGAGACAGGTGGAGAGTGCTACTTAGTGGCCTATACAGGTGTGGGCTGACAAAATGCCTTTTTTCATTTTTGACGCCAAATTTTTTAAAATTTGCTAATTTGAAAACCTGATCAGCTACCCTACTTGTGTGGAAAAATCAAAGTGAAACTCTGTCTAGGTTTTGAATAAATTAGAATTCAAATTTTGAAAGAACACCTTTTTTAAAAATGGTTACGCAGACTAAAAGTAAAAGCCTATTTATCTCGAAACTGCTGTGAGTTTTTTAAAAAAGGCGTTTAGTCAGTACACCCAATGCCAGGGTGAAAGAGGGGAATGTTGATACCATGATGATGAACATCTGAATTCGTTTGTCGTTGTGTACCACGGACCACCACTTAAAAAACCCCAAGACATCCTTTACAAGTTATTCTCATTCTTGTTGTACCGTACCCTAACTAGAGGCCAGGCGAATACCGTATATCCAATGAGCTACTGAGCCTTCATACACATTCTTAATTTGCAATGCTTTTGAAAAATCTACTTCTTCTACATCTCATTCATCTTTCAATGGACATCCCAGTCTTTATTGCCAAGGCTTCTCTGCCGTAAACTGACAAAATGCCTTTTTAAAATTTGGCCTAAAATTTTTTTTATATTTGCTAAACAGAAAGCCTGATCAGTTACTTTACTCATAACATACTTGTACTTGTATGGAAAAATCAGTGTAAATCTGTGACTTGTTTTAGAATAAATTCGAATTCAGATTTGGAAGTACCCCCCAAGGCGGTGCCACTGACTGAAGTTTCTTTAGGCCTTTCCAAAGGGGGGAGGGGGGGGGGGGGGCACTAACAACATGTTCTTATGCACAGAAGAATTGTAAATGGGCTGATTTATCAATGTCATTGTGCTCTTTCTTTCCTAATCCTTACTATTACTATTGTCATTTTCCTCTATTTCTTTTGTATGTTTGTCACATTCTGGCGACCCGCTATCTCCGGGCTGCCTTGATAGTAGAAGCAGACTTTGTGCTGTTGAAGCTAGAGAGGTGAGCAGAGTGAGCCTGATTCCCTGTAAGGACTTCTCTGTTGACATGACCTTATGCAGTTGCGAGCGTCGTAAAACCTCTACTAAAACTAAAACTAAGATTTGGAAGAACGCTATTTTTCAATGGTTATGCTGACCAAAAAACCTCTTTTTTTAAAAACTGCTGTGAATAAAAAAAGGTGTTTTGTCTGCTTACGGCAGTGCTGCTCTCTGCAGGTCCTCCAGGTTACTGAGTTTTGGGTCTCCCTGCTGAGGGTTGGGCCAATATTTCTTTCTAAGTGTTCTTTTGGAAATAAGATGAAGCCTTTTTGCTTCTGCTTTCCCCCCCCCCCCCCCCTTTCTCCTGAATTATAAATTAAGTGAACAATAGCACAAAAATCATTATTTCTGTCTAAATTTGTGTTTTTTTTCCCACAGATGTGGTCAGTCAAATGATGTCTCAGGGTATGTCATCTCAGGTTGCCAGGTCAACAGCGGAGAGTGCTATGGAGTACTTGGTTGAGCTCAAGGACAAAGCAGGCATCTTTGATGTGTTTGTGACCAGCCTGGTAGAGGTCAGTCCAGTTCAGAGAGGAGGTCTCTTTCCTCTGGAAATCATTTTGTTATTGTTGTGGAAATACACCCCCACATACAGTCGAACCTGCTTTAACGGTCATGTGTTCAAGACAATCACGTGTACAAGTGACCACTTCCTACTCCCTCCCCTTTATGGTTTTTAAAAATGTTAGCTCTACATGCATAATGACACTCTTCAAGACGTCCACCTGTCTATGATAACCACTTTTCTCTCTGATAATGGATGGCTGTCTTGGACAATTTTGATTGTTTATTATATTATATAGTGTCTGCTGCTTTTCTTGTCCTATCTGCCTGTTTAAGAGTCAGAAAGTCCTGAACTCATTCAGTGTTGGGTTCTACCTGCTCCAGTACCGGGCACTTTTGTTATTGTTTCATATGTAATTGGGTCTGCTCAAGAAAGTAATCACAACAAAAAACTCCCCCAGTCATTACGTAAAAAAAATATTCTATTACTAAATTGATTGTCGAACAATGTAAATCAATTTCAGTGTTTATATTGGTCAGATCTACTTGAATGCTCGATCTACATGAATGCTCTTAACACCAGTAAATAAATGAAGATCAAAATGTGCTTTTCCTGTTGTTGTAACCAGCTTGCAAATGTGTCCATGTAGTTTACTCAACTTTCCTCTTCACCATCACTATACTAGTGTCACTACAATCTTTTAATAGATTGGGATCAAGGGTCGTGTCCTTCACTTTACCATCAAAATGATTCATATAATTGAGAGTGGCATACTTCAAATGATTGAGGAATGACATTTAAATAATGAAGATATATAATAAAGTAGGCCTATAACACGGACAGGTCAAACACAGAAAACTCGAAATCACGCATCCGTCGAACTGTGCCTGCGGTCCCGCATTTGTATTATTTCTTCTTTATCTTTGTAAGATATCCTTCGAACTACGGATTTCTCGAACTACCACGGCCGGTCCGGATGACTTCGAGCTATCGGTGTTATACTGTATATATAGCAATGTAAACTTTTATAAAATCGATCAAAGATTGCCAGGTCAATAACTATGACTGTCTGTAGTGATGGAACAGTGCAAATATCCACCCTGCATTGAAAATATAAACACCATCTATGTTTTGCTCTTTACTGTAAATTTTACTTATCAAGGTTTTTTGTTTCTTCCAGATGTACAACTATTATGACATAGACGCCAGAGAGATTCTTGAGACCTACAGAAAGAACAACCCTACTAATCCTAATGCACATCGCTACATGTTTGAGTTTGAGGCGTCGCAAGCTGCCAGTGCACAGACTCAAATCGATTATTTGAAAGTAGGTTCACAGTCATAGACTCCGAGGTGCTGTGAAGTTAGAATGCGACATGCTTTATATTCTTCCAGAATAAGATTCGGCCTCATTCAGTCGCCTTTGTTTGAAGCTGTTTTTCTGCAAAGTGAATGTGCTTTTAATAACCCTTTTAATTAGTCAACTTTCTATAACCTCTCATTTTTGCTTTTCTCTGCCAACTTTGTCAGAAAACTAGACCCATTAAAAAAAAAGTCAGCATGTTGCCATGGAGATGAATTGGTTTTCATCGTTAAGTCTAGTTTTTGTGCAGAAAGACACAGTATGCTCTCAAGTCTGGGATGGGGTACTATGCTCTCAAGTCTGGGATGGGATACTGCAAAGTTTTCAGGAACGAGGTCCAGTTTGGCTGGGGCACGCCGCACACAGGGTCGAAAGTATAGTCTTCCTGAATTATACATTTTTATTATATAGATTGCGAACGCATTTATAAGATATTAGCACTTGTTACAGACCTAGGATAAGTAATGACTATGTTTATTTGTGGGATAAATCAAAAGAAACTGACCACTATTGTTATTGTTTCATTTTCAGAGCTTGATGCAGCTTGACCCAAGTAATCAACTGGCCCTCACACTGTTTGACCTTATGGGTATGGCACAAATGCTTTAAATTACTGGCTGGTGGTCTTGTGTGGTTTGCTCCTTCTTGCTCATCTATCGTCCTGATCTTTCCTTCTTTTTTGTGTTTGTTATTCTCTTGTAAGACTTTTAAGCTTCAGCACTTACACAACCTTACTACTGTGTTGCAAGTGCCGTAACATTTTTAGAACAACAAACAAACAAAACTCTAAAATTACTGACTTTCAAATATTTGAATGCTTTCATGCCTTTTGACTTGGGAGTTTAGTGAATTTCTTTCTCTTTTTTTAAACTAAAATTACTAACTTTCAAATGTTTAAATTTTTAAATGGTGGGCCAGAAGTTTCTTTTTTATCTGAAATTACTGACTTTCAAATGTTTGAATGCTTTCATGCCTTTTGACTTTTAATAGGGAGTTTGGTGAATTTCTTTCTCTTTTTTTTTAATAGGAGGAGTTCCACCTTTCCATTCGCTTTTTGAAATGTCTTTAACATAGTCTAAGTAAAAAAAAAAGTTTTTTCATTTCACTTGATCAGGTTGTGAATTTTATTGTAATGTGTAACACGCATGATACACACAAGTAAGACAAGATATCTTTCAGTCTTTACCAACTTTTTAGTGTTGTTCTGTTGCCCCAGGGAGCAACTTTGAACTTTGATGAATTATACCTCCAACACACATACAACCTTTGTCACCTTTGTCTTCCTTCTCTTTGTTCTACGTTTTAATCCCTTTGGATGGTTGGGACGAAACCGTTTCATCTCCAAGTTTCTCTAATTAATTTTCATCTGATGAAAAAGTTGCCTCCAAAGTGATTTGATGTAATTAATAACTGTCAATTTATCTCAGTGGCACACTCACAAACATGCACACACAGGACTCCAAACGCATACGTCTTTGTCTACGAACTGGATTGGGCTGTGTAGTCGCGGAAAGTAGAACACGCCTAACAAAGGTCCAATGGGTGCATAGGTTACTGTGTCAGTGGGGGAAAGTGTGTCGTAAACTTTCTCCCCATTGTCAGGGCTAGGAGAGCGTGAGCCCTCTTTTGCAGTGTTATTTTTTTCAAGTCTTCTACCTTCTTACAAGAGGGGTTTCATTAAGGAGAGGCCGTAGGAACGGGCTCGTCCTTTGCTGAGCCTTAAAGACATTTGATCGGCCGTTTGCTAGGTTACTATAGTTGTAAGCGGTGACAACAGTGATTGGATAAACGAGCAAGCTGCCAAGTTGATCACTCTGTGTTCATTTTGTGCGATCATAACAGTTTCAACTGCTTTTTTCGTTATTTTCATTTGCTATGGGATAGAGTTGAGAGATGGGGAGGGGGCCTCAAGCCTGTGAGCCCTTCACTACCCACCGCCACTGATCATGTCTTTTGATAGATTAGACCAACCGGTCAAAAAATAAGTCTTCCTTCTCTTCTTAGTGTTCCAAGGCAAGTTAGATTTTTTTTCTTCTCTTCTTTGCACTCTGTACACTTTCATTCTCAGACAGTCAAATATTATCTTCTGTCCTCCTCCTGGAAATGACTACCGAGATTGAACAGCTGTTTTGGAACTTCTCCTGGAAGAAACTGGTCAACCTCTGTGCTCCCAGTAAATTAGTCAAGCTCTGTATTGTTCATCATCATCAATGCCTTTCATCCCTGGCAGACCCCCCAGGGCGGTGCTTCTGACTGAAGTGTCTTTTGGCCTTTCCCAAAGGGGGGACATTAATATGTTCTTATGCATAGTGGAATTGTAAATTGTAAATGGGCTGATTCATCAATGTCGTGCTCATAACTGTACAGTAGTCTCCGCCAAAACGCATGCCATACAAAAGCACGCTCCGCTCAAATGCACGCTTTCGTCATCTGACGGGTTTTTTACTATATAATTTAGACGTACAAACGCACGGTCACTCCCTCTAAACGCACGCTCTGATCCGCGAAACATGCCGACCAGTAAAGCTTGACAAGGGGAAATTTGTGTCTAGCATCTGTGTTTGTTGCCATTTTTTCGTCCAAAAGTTGCCACAGAAATGGCAAAAGTTGCCACAGAAATGGCAAAAGTTGCCATTATTTTCAAGCTTTCTACTCTCTGTGACGACATATATTATATAGCATGTTGATAGAGGTAACTTCATCTAAAGCACCAGCATTTCTTGTGTTCTGTTTTATGCTACCAGAATATCATTTGAAGCCACATAGGATGTAAAACGTGAAAAGAGTAGGTTCCGGCCGCCGCCCGTGCAAAATTAAACATTTCCTACCAACTGAAAAAGTTTAATGTGTCCCGCGGACTCATGTGACCGTATGCAGTTGCGAGCACCGTAAAACACTTACCAAAAAAAGACCAACAAAAAAACAACATCAAAAACCGAAAAAAGAACACATCAGAACAATAACAAGAAAAATTAAAACACAATAAAGAGGGCCAAATTAAAGGGAAACAGCAATAGGGGCCCACATAAATAGTATGCAATGTACTTATTCTTCACATGAAATTTCATTGAAAGTAATAAAATCAACGTGGTGTCAACAAGTGAGAAAGAGACGAAGTGAAAGTAAACTTTCTTAGCTTTTCTTTTTGAACGTAAAGTTAGTGAGGTTTGGTTACTTTATATATTTATTTTTTTTGTATGTTTTCTTTTTTAGTTTCTCGATTTTTATTCCCCGGGGTTTGTTTTTTTATTATAATTTATTCCCGAGCGGTTTTTATTTGGTTGAAAAATATGCAAAAATTGCGGCCATGCTTCGCGGACCAAAATTTGTCAAAAATCGCGGCCGCGACAAACACAGATGCTAAGTAAGTCTGATTCCCTGTAAGGACTTCTCTGTTGACATTCACCCTTTGGCGCTCATATGACCATATGCAGTTGCGAGCGCTGTAAAACCTCTACTAAACTAAACCCCTTTCAGGGTATAGGCCACATACAAGCTCCTTCCATTTATCTCTGTCTTGAACCATCCTTCCAAGCTTGTTCCAAGTGAGCTTCATCTCTCTCTTGTCCCTTTCAACGCATCTCCTCCATGTTTTCGTGGCCTACCCCTGTCTGTGTATTGTTACTGTCTCATTACTATCACTTTCAAGTGGGATAACTTTTGCAAAGCATCACTAAGGGTTTAAACAAAATTTTGTTTCCTCTTACTAATACTAGGTCCAGAATGTGTGGAAGCAGTGGAAGTCCTGTTTGATTATCTGGATTTTGACCACTGCAGCAATGACCTGGAAGCTTGGAGCAGACTGGCCACAGCTTTGAAACAGTTGCCTGACAAGTATGTGCTCTTAGTCTTAGTCTTTTATGAGTATGAGTGTGAATATTTTTCTCTAGAAAGTCTTGAAAAACTTCCCAAAAAATTCAAGAGTGTCCTACTGGGTTTCAAACAAAGATCATCTGCACCATAGCCATAGTCCTACTTGATACTGATAGCACTGGTGGAGCTGACAGCACACTCTTTTACACAAATGTATTTAAGGAAAATAGCAAGAATAAGTAGTCTTATTCCTACAAACTCCAGAGAACAGGGATGCAAAATCTCTGGTTTTTCCGGCTTTTTTCCGTTTTTTTCATTCCCTCACAAAGGAAAGGGGAGAGGTAAGAGAGGCGTTTTTGTTTGCACATAAAAACTTTACAAGGTTCGTTTTAGGTGAGATGTGATGCTCAGCTCACTTTCAGGTTTTTTTTACTAAAATCATTTGGAATTCCTTTTAAGGAAGAAAATGAATAGAGTGAAATCACAAATGTCTGGTGATCGCTAAGTTTCTATGTGAAGAAATTTGTGGAGCATCCTTAATAGCACCAACACGTATAACTTATAAATTATAGACTAATGAGATGGCCATGCCTTGGGTACCAATCAGAACAGGGTTCATGAAGTGACAACTGGGGAGAAGAGAGCTTGGAGCACTTTGGTCTAAACAACTGTAGCGAGGGACATGGTGAATATGAAGCGGGAGTATGAGGCCTGTGAGAGTGCTGTTTTTTGACTTCATAAAGTAAGCGTATAGCTTACAAGGGGAAGACGGAGGAGTTTGACTACAAAATATCAATAATAAGGGTAACCTTTTAAGATTGTATTGCAGTTCAGTGTGGTTGCTTGTAAAAGTGCCTCTTGCAAGTCTTACTTCTTAAACAATTCTTTTGTATTTGTTCATCTTACTTTTTCCCAGAAATGTGTGATGTGCAATCTGACGTTTGTCTTATTTCTTTAAATTTTCTCTTATATTATATTCCCTCCTGTAATATTTTCAGCAATGAACTCCTCACTGTGGTCACAAAGTGCTGGGAAATGCGGAAAGATTGGTGGCCTCAAGTCAAGTTTGACATTGTAGGGCAAGATGCTGCAAACAATAAAGACCTACGAAAGTATCAACGAAGAGTGAAAAGAGCACTTCTAGAACTTGGTAAGCCGATTCTTTTTTATTCCTTTGTTTTTATTCTGAAAAAGAAGTGTGCCAATTGCTGACAAATTTTTCGGAGTGGCTACTCGTCCGATGTCGTGTGACTAGCACCAGGCTACTCACCCGATCTAGGATTTCTGCGCATGTTCCGGGCGAAAGAATTTGGTTGATTAGCCCCGCCTTGCCTGCGGCTTCTGGCCCTTGGGGATTTCTACGCATGTTCCGTGTTCTGGCCTGTGGGGATTTCTACGCATGCTCCTTTAAAATTCGCGTGATCTATCGCGCAAGATTCAGTCACTCACTCGGTCACTCCTTGTCCTCCAAGTCAAGAGTCGGATCGGTTCTAACGTGAAAGTTTGACTCTGACTGCAATTATCTGACCGAATTGACATTATTATAATACATGGCATGTATGAAGATGGGACTGGCCATAATGTGTACAATAATGATTTTATTGCCCCGGGTCAGCTTGTGAACCGACGCAGAGAGAAAACGACAGGAATCAATAATTCTAATAACAAAAACATCCCCCCCTTCTCTCTCTCTCTCCCTCTCTCGTTCTCACCCTCTCTCTCTTTCTTTCTCTCCCCCCCCCCCCCCCCCCTCCTTTCTCTCTCCCTGAAGACAAAATTTATCGCTTTCAACTCAGCGCTGGAACGTTTGTTTACTCTCGTATCACGGGCCGTCACGCGCTAAGAAGACGAGGTAAATCTAGCACCCAAGTCTCGTTCAGAAGCGAGATGGGGCAATCGAAACATCTTGGTAGTAGTTGGATAATCTTTGATAACATCTCGGGGCTGCATTTCTATTGTTAGTAACTTTGTCACCGGCATTCCGATGAAAGATAATAATTAATTAATAAAGGGTGATATATCTTGGGGATCAACAACAATATAGTCAACTTGTGAGGGAAACATCGGAATACGGCAAAAATAGATTGCGGAAAAACATCATTTATGATCTATTTTGGGCCAATCACAGAGGCGTGCTAGGTGCTCTCAATAACTTCATGTCGCTCGGAAGGCCGCGAAGCCGTGTTTACACTACCTAATACGGGGTGCCTACTACAGATGGGATCATCCGACTCGGCCGTAGTGGGCACCCAGTATAAGACTAAGACTAGATCTAGGTGACCGGCTCTGGGTGGGCAGAAAAAGCTAGCCACCCAAGGTCGCAAAAATCCCCACTGGCCAGTAGCGTCAGGCTACTCGACCGAATTCGGTCGACTAGCCTGACGCTAGCCACCCGACATCGGGCGAGTAGCAGCGGCCCAAATTTTTAGTGGAAGAAATGGGGTCACATTTGTTGACTGCTGTGAACATATGTGTAAAACCCATCAAAATATGAATTATAGAAGAATTGATTTAAAATGCTGTTTGACACTTAAGTCCATGAAAGGATTTCAAATCCCCGATTTTTGCTCTCTTTATTCTATGCATTGCAACTTCCCACAACATGATAAAAAAATTCCAGGAGATCTGGTTAACAATCCTGGTCCCAAACATAAACATGATATTGACTCGGCTCTGTTCCCAATTTATATACAGACGGGATCAGGTTTTCCCATTATTTCAAAGATGATGATTTAATAATGCAATATATAATTTTTCTATGAAGCTTTTGTTTATTTTAGCATTTTCCTAACCTGAAATGAAGATTTCTGAAATATGAAAGCAGTTTGGATGAAAAACTACTATTTACTTTCTTTTTGGTGACCCATTAGTTAGGTCTGATACCTTTTCTCACTTATATATTTTTAAAATACCCAGTATCATAATAATATGGATATCAAGATTTAGTTATCACATGTTTGTGCTACTCTAATTTGTTTTTGTTATCTTCTGTCACTTTCAAGTCAGTTAGCAGAAAAGTTTACCAAAATTGAAAATAGTGGGGTATTCTTAAAAATTGTGGAAAAAAGTTTCACTGATATTGGTATATCTTAGTATACATATAAATGTATTGTGAAGAGGAGATATATGAATCATTCAAAAATTAAACCTGTGCCTTAGTATTTGAAGTCCGGAATAGTTTTATTGAAAAAGAGTAAAAAAAGGCCGTAGATAGAGTGACCGTGAGACTCCATACTGGCCAGGGCTTAGTGAGTTAACAAGAAAGATTTGAGCAGTTTCATCATCCTCCCAGCTGACTCTCCTCCTTTTTTTGTCCGCTCACAATAACAAATACACATCAATAGGCTAAAACAACCCCCCACACACACACACACACACACACACACACACACACACACACACACCCCCCCACCCAAGTGAGTTTTCTTTCCCACTTCTTTACACCATTTGTCTTTTCTCTAGGTTGACAGCATCACTCATAAATCTTCAAGTTCAAGGGAACCTTTCAGAAATGAGGGAGATGAGAGGCCGCAACACATAAGAGATGCCCCCAGTGTGTGACATCCTCAACCTTATGCACAGCGCATGCCATGGACCTGAGGCCATATATGGGAATGAACCCAGTAGAATATGATCGCACAGATCTGCCTCAAATGTTTTTGATTATCTGTATGTATGCAATGGTCTTGGCAGCAGTTGCTGTGTAATTGTATCTCCTGCAGATGGACTCATGATATAGTACTGGAATAAACTCGAGTGAAACTGATCTTGTGACTTTCTCCCATGTTTCTATTTTTAGACAAATCGCTACCTCAGAATGACTAAGTTCCATCTGCTCAATACCTAGATTAGACAAATCTGATTTCTGACTTCATGGTTTCAGTAAATCAAAAGGGCCAAAAATGTCAGATAGAATTTTGTAATTCTAAGGTAGTGAAATGCAGTTTGCTCCCAAAACTTGACCACAGTGAAAAGCAAGTGTGTGTTACTGTTATTGTACAACAGAATGGACAGAAGTCCAAACTTGTGTAAGCTAATATACAGTGGAGAAAGTATAGATGTCTCAAAAACGCTTTAGTGTGCGCTAAAATCGTACAACAATAATTTTAATTCCTATTCCCCATGACTGGAAAGATTTGGACCACTTTGTGTTGCTCAAGTCTCAGGTCAGATGTTCTTCTATTCAACAACACACTATCCTGGTTCAACATGCCTTGTGTTCATAAGTTGAACTTCATTGCTGAATGTCCACTCACTTCAAGTTTAGACAAAAATTTGGGTTTTTTATGGATTCCCCTCCAGTTGTTGTTGTTGTTGTTGTTATCGATCCAGCAACAGCTGAGCTCTCGCCCTTCTGTCCAATGCCATGTAGTGATAAGTGCAGGTCTGCTGCAGTTGCTGTAATGTTCCATAGAGTGTGTTGTCAATGTTAGGTCTCGGAGGGAGAAGGGTAGCTCTGATGTCATTTAGGGCTGTACAGTGGAACAGGTGATGATCCACAGTCTCATATGCATAGTCACACAAGGGACACATTGTGGGAAGTTCCAGGTTTATTCTGTTCAGGTGGAAGTTGAGCTGTATATGTTCTGTTCGTAGGCGGAAGATCGTGGTCTGTTTCTTTCTCTGAAGGCGGTTGATATTGTCATTTCATTCCTTTTTGTTGTGGTCATATGTTTGAAAACTGCTCTGCCTGTCTTTCCCAGGGCCCATCTGTTCATCCAATCTTGTTTGTTGTTGCTTTTGATGATTTGTTTTGCAGTGTTGTATGAAGTTGGAATGTTGGGTTGTTCCTGTCTAGATCCCCGTTTGGCGAGTGTGTCTGCTCTGTCATTTCCAGGTATGTCTGAGTGTCCGGGGACCCACTGCATTACTAGGTTGATGCCACAGAATGTTATCAGATGATGGGATCCAAACAGTATATGGGTCAAATCTTGGTTTAGGTGATGGTCATTTTCTATGGCTTGTAATACTGATAGTGAGTCAGAGAAAATCACAATACTCTGTGCTTTTCCAGGATGAGTGTCAAAAACTGTGCGGAGATGGTACAGTGCTGTTTCAATTGCCATCATTTCTGCATCGTAGTTGCTGCATTTCTCTCCACAGGCTGCAGAGATCTCATTGGAACTTCCATCTGGGTACTGTATTAGTATTCCATATCCGGCTTTGGTTGTGCCTTTGAATGCTGAGCCGTCCGTATAGACGTGTGTCCAGTCATCTGAATAGCTGTCGATTGTTTGATGTGATGCAAGCATCAGCGTCACTGGGTCTGAAGATTTTGTGCTCTTGTCTTTGAGAGATGTTGTAATGATTGGCTTTTTTAAAGAAAGGTGGGGAGGGATGTTTTGGTTGACTCTTGGTTTCTTTTCTATTTTGTGGTAGATGTTTGCTCTCCATTAGTTCTGTGATGTGATGCATGATTGACTTTTGTTGAATTCGTTTCTTTGGTTTCCATGTTTCTACTAATTTCCTGTTTGGGTGGTTGGGGCACATTCTTTTAGTTCTTTCATGTAGCTCCAAAACTGCTTTATCTCTGCGGATTCCCAGGGGTTCAACATTTGCAAGGATTTCGCACGTGGCGGTAGGTGTGGATCTCATGCCGCCATTTATAAAACGAAGGGCATTGTTTTGGACCTTGTCAAGGGTGTTGCAAGTAGTTGTACTGCACATAGTGAGTAGGCTATTGCTGTATTCCAGGGAAGATCGGACATAACCCAGGTATAGAGCTCTCAGAGTTTGTTTGTCTGACCCCCATGAACTGCTTGCGAGTTTCTTTAAAAGTTGGAGTTCCCCTCCAGTGAAAGGCTCATTCTAGTCATAGGATCACAAAATTCCTAAAGTCAACCAGTCCATTCCAATCTACTTTTTGGGAGGGGGGTAAGTGGTGCTTGCACCTGCATAGGTCATATGAGCGCGTAACTCACACTAAACATTTTCAGTTGGTGGGAAATTTTGAACCATCGATTTTGGACCACCAAGGGATCTTTAAAGTGCGCAACTTGTACACAGGACCTCTCTGAGATTTTTCGCCCTTATCCAAGAAGGCTAGGTGTAGATCTTACCTACCAGAAAATCAGGGGTATTGCTGTAAGACATCAGTAAGAAGGAGCCAAGGAGTAGAAGTAGAAAAGCTGAAGAAAGACTCAGGAACCAAGAGGAGAGGGCAATGGAGGTGAGGGGCAGAAAGAGGAGACGAAAGCAGACAACAGAACATTGTTAGAGAACATGAAAGGATGTGAAGGATCATATTTTAGAGAAGAATAAATATTAAAATTCTGGCTATAGCAGGCTTATCATAATTTTCAGCGTCTGATCTTTTATAATGTACCGGTATAGTAAAAAAGTTCTTTAATAGTTTTATAGCAGGCACTCAGACATTCATGATTGGCTATATCGTGTGAAATGTGAGGCAGCGTGGTGAAATCAGGCGCTCATCAAAATAATGATAACGAAGAAAACAGCGCTTCCTTGTTTGGCTATTTTTGTCGAATTTTCATTTGTGACTTATTACCTTTTATGTCCATTTATTTTTTAAAAACAATTTGCTGTGTGGCTTTTACTGAAAAGCAGTGATTAAAGGCACAAAAAAAGTAACTTTATAGTTTCCAAGGACTCTCAAGCTTTGCAAGTCATCAAACTCAAACTTTGGTGGCCATTTCTCTTACATTTTAGCTCTGAAACCAAGTGACCCACACCTACTTCAATCCAAAATACCTCCCTTGATTTCTGTTGAAGATGGATCATTTTTTCCCCCAAAAGCAAGACAAATAAACCAGCTTTAAGATCATACCGGTACCCGTAACTCCATATGCCGAAAAACTGAAGAGCACCCGATTCCACTGCATCGTGACACATCCATTGATTGTGATTGACAAAGTCCTAAAACAAATGGACAGGAAAGCAGGGAAAAGCAAATGAAACAAATCAATAGCCAACATTGATGGTGAATTGGACCTATTGTCTCCCCATGGGTGGTGAGACTTGTTGCGTAAAAAATATTTTAAAAAGGTTGAATGAAAAGTAGTCACTAGATCAACTGGGGATCAGTGTCATGTGTGCTCTTTCCCCAACTGTGTTAACTATTGGATTACGAGGGGTAGTAAAGTGCACTGACCATGCTGCTAGCTCAGAATCTGAAGAGCATGGATGTGTGATGCTATATTATACTATATATGAAATGCTTCTTCTTTGCATTCACATGCTAGACCTCAGGGGTAGCCAACTGCTGGTTTTTCGACCTGCAGTGCAACTGGTTTATGTCTGTGACAGTATAGACAGCTTTTCCTGCTTTGTAGGCCCCTTGCCTGCAGGCAGCAACACTCCGATTTCAAAGATACTTCACATGTTTTAAACTGACAAGAATATTTTCAGTTTGGGTAGGAATTAATTTTTAATTTTTACCCAGGTGGCACTAAAGTAAAGTCTGCCCAACACCGATCTTAGGACCATCAAGGGATCTTTGAAGAGTGCAACTTGTGCACTGGATCTGAGATACTTTGCCTTTATCCAAGAAGTGTAGGTGTTCGATCTTCCAATCCAACAGACGTGGGTGCTCTGGTGTGGTTTGGTTCTTCTTTCCTATCAAACATATATCGTCCTTATCTCCCCTTCTTCTTTTTTATGTTTATTACTCTCTTGTAACACCTCTAATCTTCTGGCACTCATATAATAAATAGTATTTGTGTAGCGCATATCCTCGCTCAACAGCAGGCTCTATGCGCTTTACACTATATTATTACCCAAGCAGACCACAGAACACTCCGAAACATTCTCAGCTTCCCGGTAAGCATACAGTGCAAGCAGCTGATTAAGCGCTCAGAGACTAACAAACTGACAAGATCTTTCGCTGTCTATAGCCGAGTACCCATTCCCACCTGGGTGAAGTGAGGAAAATTCGTGTAAAGTGCCTTTCCAAAGGACACAACGTCGGTCCCCTGATGGGATTCGAACCCACGACCTTCCGGTTGCGAGTCCGAGAGCCTAACCACTAGGCCACCGATGCCACAATATGACCTTATGCAGTTGCGAGCACCGTAAAACCTCTACTAAAACTAAACTAAAAATCCAACAGACAAAGCAGTAAAGTACGGAAAATTCTTTGGCCTGGGATCAGGGAATTGTGTCCAGGGACAACATCTCCAAAGATTTTGAAATCTAATGAATATATACAGACCTGCCACTCTATGAAATCTAAAAATCAGGATTTCTGAGTTAAAAAATCAGGATCTGGTGAAAAAAATTGGGATCAACGGCAAATCAGTCATAACGGCCACTGGGGAAAGCGGGGGGTGGGGGGTGTCCTGGTTCCCTTCTAAGAGGCAAGTATGCAAGGCAAAACTTTTGCAGGAAAAAGTTCACGTTGGGCCTCTAAATAGAGGGAAAGCTGAAAGATATGTACTCGAGTCGAAGTTGGATAGACTGGTGGAGCGAAGGTCGCAGTGATGCTGAAACACTTGTAGTCTTGAAAATAGCTGACACGTAACTCGAATCATCCACGCAAAACACCCGCGTTTTAACAACATTTGACTTCCATCACATCGAAAAAAAGATCGCGCCAAGGTTGTTCATTGTTTTTCTTATTCCTTTCCCCTTAATTAGTGCCTGTATCACGACGCGCACTTTAAACCCAAGTGTCAAAACAATACCCCCCTGGACGTCCACACTGGTTAAGTCCCGAAAAACACCTCGACCAACGCGACCGGTGTGAATGAACTTTGTTGACCCCGACGGTCCCCGACACACGCGCTACTCACCACACGTACGAGGTCATGTCATGTGATGTGAATGAGCATCTGAAACTAGGTCGATTTTAGTTTAAATAACGTGCGTTAGTCATCTACTAGATCTAAATTCGGCATAGATGCTTTAGAAAATAGCGTTCCAAGTTCCTGCAGATAAAAAGTCCAATCGGTGTTTCCAAGCAAAAGAGATTGCAGAACTTAAAAAATTTTTTTCTAAGAATCGGACGCAACAGACGCAACCACAAAAAATCAGGATACTGGCGATCAAAATCGGGAAAATCGGGATGCTTGAGATTTGGGGCAAAAAATCGGGATATCCCGATTAAATCGGGATGAGTGGCAGACCTGCCACTCTATGAAATCTAAAAATCAGGATTTTAGAGTTAAAAAATCAGGATCTGGTGAAAAAAATCGGGATCAACGGCAAATCAGTCATAAGGGATACTGGTTCCCTTTTATGAGGCAAGTATGCAAGAGAAAACTTTTGCAGGAAGAAGTTCATGTTTGGGCCTCTAAATAGAGGGAAAAATGAAAGAAAGCATTACTCGAGTCGGAGTTTGGTAGACTGGGGGAGCGCAGGTGGCAGTAAAGCTGAAACTCTCGCCGTCTTGAAAATAGCTGACATATAACTCTAATCATCCCTCTAAAAGCCCGTGTTTTCATACAGTAACAACGTTTGACTTCCATCGCATATGCACTCAAGGCACCCCCCCGAAAAAAGATCGCGCCAAGGTTGTTCATTTCTTTCTTTTTTCTTATTCCTTCATCCTCAATTAGATTCTACATGTATCACGGCACGCACTTTAAGCCCAAGTGTAAAAAAAAAACCCCCAAACCCTCCCCCCGTCCACACTGGTTAAGTCCCGAAAAACACCTCGACCAATGCGATCGGTGTGAATGAATTTTGTTGCCCCGACACACGCACTACTCACACGTACGAGGCCATGTCACGCGTTGCGAATGAGCGTTTGAAAGTTCCACAGACAGGTCTGATGGGCCAGACTAACCAGAACTCAGACGAAGCTTGCTTTTTTTAAAGCAACGGCAGAACAACGAATAGATTATTCTTAGGCCCATGGCATAATTGTTACAGTAATCAGGACACTACCGGAGAATTCTGGGTTATAAAAGCGAAAGTAGATCTTGAGCGTATCCATGTCGGAATTCAAAATCGATACTACGCCAGTTTTAGTTGAAATAACGTGCGTGAGCCATCTGCTGGATTCGGCATAGATGCTTCAGAAAGTAGCGTTCCAAGTTTCTGACGATAAAAAATCCAATCGGTGCTTCCAAGCTAAAGAGATTGCAGAACTTTATATATTTTTTTTACCTAGAATCAGACGCGACAGACGCAACGACAAAAAATCAGGATACTGGCGATCGAAATCGGGAACATCGGGATGCTTGAGATTTGGGGCAAAAATCGGGGTGAGTGGCAGGTCTGTTATTACCAATTAGTGATACATACAGTGTGTAAACTTAATCCCTGTCTACTATAACAGGAGTATTGAGTTGGTGCCAGTGGTCCTGTTAAAACTAAACGGGGCCCACTGTACTACCTCAGCCAGCCAAGTCTCAAGGTGTTGCGGAAAGTCAACCACAAACACTGTTTTGCTTTATCTTTGTAATTCGGTTCACATGTCTCGCTACATTTTTATATCTAGCCTTGTCATACTTATTCTAAAATTGTGTTCAAGTCCTTACATACCCCCACCATTGAGTGCCTCGGACATAATGTGCAATATAAGACAATAAGTTCTATCACCAAAATAAAAACACAATGAAAGCAGGATCGCGAACCAGACATTTTATTTGAAATGACCATACTTGTTAAAATGACTATCTTACAGACCTCAACCATACGAGAGTTAACTACTTCCACAATCATCGCCCTGATGCCATGATAGCAGCAACACCTGAAATAATAAAAAGAAAGAAAAAAAAGCAGTTATTTCAAAGTTAACGGTTAAAGAAAAACAAATATACTAAAGTTATCACCGTTTTAATTGTGCAGAAAAAAATCTCTTATAAGGAGTCCTGAAAGTACAATTAGTACTGAAATATTTTTGTAGATGAGTTGTTTACAACAAGCCGGCAAGAAAAACAGAATGAGCATGCCACTCTAAGGGGAGATAAAATGAAATACCACTCCTGTACTCTCACCACCTTCACCAAAAAGTGAGACAACTCATTCTGGACAAGCAACTCTTTGCACTACTTATTTAGCCAGGATTTTCGTAATAAGGGATCCAGTAATAAATTCAAGGAAAATAATAATGTAGGCCTAATTTATGAGTTTGCTGTTCTGTTTATTTCTTTTTGTTATCTCCCCTGGTGACAATTTTGTTCAACATGACCTCTCGGTTTTACTGGATCAGAAATTGAATCAGGTTTCTTTCTCTAGTGCTAGCGATGTTGACAGCTCAGCGATTGCGATCAGAAAGAAAGGGCTCTAAGCTAACTCACCAGCTGTAGTCCCCCACCCCACCACACCCTGCTGTGCGTTCCGTCTGCTTGCGCGCATGGGTACACACAACACTCTGCACATATCACACATTCGCTCCATCCTTCACAGCACTGTGACCTCTCCATCCCCACATCGGAGAAGTGAGAGGCATGGTAGGCCTAGATAATCTAGACTAGGCTGGCCTACGCGTTCTGCTTGTCTGCGCATGCCACGCTCTCCCATTCTTTGTTTCGCTATATCACCAATATGTTTCTCAACTGGCGAGGTTTATACAGATCTATGTAGAATTGGCCTATGTGCTGTGCACAGCAGCAGCAATATTTCGCTATAACTGACTCGTGTGTTCGTCTGATTGCGCTATAGCAGTATTCTATTTACAAAGATAAAGAAGGGAAAAAAACCCGTGGTTTTAGAATAGTGTCTTTATAACAGACTTCTCATTATTTCAGGACTCTTTATAAGTAGACTTCACTGTAATCAATATGCAAAATTTGAACACACCATTGTTTTAAACTACACACATATCATAGTTCTCATCTCAGATACATTTTTGTATTCAACATTGACATCATAAGAAGTGGGGATTTTCCATCCGGATTTCAAAATATCATCCTCTTATTGTAGGCCTACTTTATATACATATGCATACATGCAGTCTCATTTATTAAATAATCTGAGTAAATTTTAGAGCCCCCAGCGAGTGCATTTTTCCATCAGGTCCGAAAAAGTTCTGAATTTTTTTTGGTAGCCAGTTGGCAGCTAAGCATCACCTTGGGCTATGGTGCATACTTCCTTGGTTTTAAATCCCCTATGAAGTGTTCTTGAACTTGATTTTTGGGGGGAAGCTATAAAAAAAATAATCTCTACCCATTTTGGCTGTCTCACTTATTGGAAATGGCTGCACAATTCTGACACTCCACTTCTAAAATGGCAGTAGAAAGTGGCATTAAACTCACAATAGCCTTTGAAAATCTATAAATTTATATGACACAAAAGCAAATGACCCGGTATGGTACTCACTGTCAAACGAAATCTTTTCTGTGATGTTCTTGGTTTTGATATTCTCATCCTGGGTTGTGACGAACACATATCCATCTTGCTGTTCTCTCCACCCATATTTACTGATCCACTGGCTAGTCTGTGCATCTGAGGTGACAGAATGAAAGGAGAGGGAGTTAGGCTGTGGTATACTAAATAGGAGGCAAAACAATTCTGAAAAAAAAAGGTTAAAAATATTACAAGGATTAGGAAACCATGATCAGTGTCTAGTTGTTTTTTTTCCCTTCCCTTTACAAATGAACCATGAGAAAATACAGTCACAGAATCTCCCAAAAACTTTATCATAGACAATGCAATGTAATCAAAATCAAGACATAGAAATAGTCGAAATTGCCCAAGACAACCCTCCATTGTCAAAGAAAATAGTGGATGCCGACAGGTGGACGTCTTGGACAGTGCCATTACAATATAAATAGATGCAAAAGATGTAAAAGGAGAAGTTGGAAGTGGTTGTGCGATTGTCTTAGATAGGAGACCGTTAGAGCAGGTTTGCCTGTTTTTAACACACTCACTGCTATGCCCAAACCCTGTCGGGTGATCCGCGAAAGCTGCTACCTGCATAACCCGTATGGTGCGTCTTTACTACTATTTTTCAAACATTCCCAGACGTGTCTCGGGCTTGGTAGTCGGAAGTATGCGACATAAGCCAGTTTGGTTTCCATTCGGCATTGTTGCAGTAACTGCCCTTGATTCAGGGCTGCCTATCTCAAAGTTTCCATTTCAGGTACATTCAGGGTCAGTATCAGGCAGTTTGGCCCAAAATCAGGTAGTACAAAGACAAAGAAGGAAAAAAAGATGATCGTTGCCCCATCGAACGCGCTTGCTTTCCGTGATATAGGGTAATTATATTTTGAAAACTTGTTTTGGCATGCACATGTGTGCGTGTGTGTGCATGCTCTCGTGTTTGTTTATATATGTGGGGAGGGGAAGGGGGTGTCTGGGTGTGCACAAGTTACGATGAACAGTGTGTATGAAATGAGGCGAGGTTGTTTTTTTAAAAAGCATTTATGGACTATCGTTCAAGGTACCTATCATTCAGTATTGAATCTGGAATTGAGTGCAGGATGATCGCCAAACTGACTTCAAAACCCCAAGCCCGTAAAATAGAAACTATATTTAAACATTTCCTGACACTAGCATAGGACACTGAACTGATGAGCACTTTCTGACTTAGGTATGACAGACAATTGATTTTAACTAGTTTTACCCTAAAAATACAAAATGAACCCTGATCTGGGCCTGAGGAGAGGCAAGAACATCAACTGCCAAAACCATGTTTGGTTTCAGCAATCACGGATTTTAAAAAGCATGCAAGACAAAAATTATTTATAAAACCTTTATAGTTAGGCTTACGGCAGAGTAAAAAGTGAAAATAAAAGAGAGCGTGTACTGAGAGCCGGACCTGGAAGGACTGTGAGAGCATGGGACGTAGTGATGCTGAAAACCTGGAAATGAATGAATCACTGCATCATGGACTAAGCATTGTTTTTTTTCAAAATGCTAAACCACAGTACCAGTTTTTAATCAGCAAAAAGCCATCATGATGCATAGGCATTCAACATAGAGCTTTCCAAGGGTTGAAAATGGCATTTCCTCATTGTCACTATTCAATTGGTCATCACTGACAAATCCGACAACACGAACCTTGAAGATGCAATCATCAAGCCTGTGCTCTTATGTTCCCTCATTTGCGCACTCGATTGTTGAATGTCAAAACCACTTCCACTTATCGTTTTTATTTTAGCATCAGTTTCTTGTACCTCTGCCTTATCCTGCTGCCGTAGACTTTATTGCGTCAAACACCTCCCCTCAATTCCGAAGCCCTGCAACTTTGATTACCCCAGCAACCGTCGGCCGGACCCTTACTCATGCCGTGCTTACACAGGTTCACTGACCAGTCACGATGACGGGCCTAACAGTCTAGAAATCGTAGGACGCTTTTTTTCTTTTTCTTCCTTTTTTATGTCATAGTGACATCAGTGAGAATATTGATTTAACTTGTATGGCGACACAGTGTTTTTTATGCACAAACTGCATGTTGCAAATTTTTATTAACTGTAAATCTAACGTTAAAAAACTACCATCGGACAATTTTGAGGTGTAACGAAAAACGAAAGTACATTTTGATTTTCCCGATGGAGTCTCCGTATTACACCTACACTTCCACCTGCGGCCATAGCCGCTAATAAGCGTGAAACGTACTCTCGGACAGGGGAAAGCCGAACGTAATATCACTAACGCGACAGGTAAAATATGAACTCAGATTTGGTTTCGAGGACTTTGTGCATTTTCTCGGGTCTTAGCGATCTTTTTTTCAGATTCCCGCAGTCCCCCTGCGTAGAACCCTCATTTAGTACTTACCAATTCTCTAGACGAAGACATATTTTAGAATGTTTTGCTTCGATATCGATTTTTTTTCTACATTCACAATTCTGTTTTCTAGATAAATGAATTGAATGTACAGATTTTCCAGCTGCAGCAAAAACCCGAAGACAGAAAGAAAGAATGAATGAATGAAAGGAAGGAAGAAGACTATCTATTGTGAGTAGACAGATTTTAGCCGATATGCACATGAAAAACTATTGCCGACCGAACGGCACAGATTGACAATGGTCGAGTGTAAAAATGCGCAATCTGGCAGTTTCTAATACAACTTATTGCTGGGAGTTGCCATAAATATCTGACAAGTTACAGAGGAAAGTGCTGATCTCTCTCTCTTTACCGCATGGAGGTGATATGATGATGTGGCAAGTATGGAACTTTTGGAGTGGGTCTTTTTCCCTTCTTTCGGCACCTATCAAAAATCCGGTAGTTTTTATACCTTATCGGTATGGCGGTAAAACAGGCCCAAAAATTGGTATCTACTGGAAAAATCAGTAGATTTAGGCAACCCCGTTGATTATGTTACTTAAAAATCAGACTTTTTCGAACCCAACCAAAACTAACTAAAAACTACTAACACTCAGTTGCGATGGCGACAGCCGTTCATTGAGGTCGGAACATTGGAATCGATTGACCCCTTCGTCAATAAAGGGTCAGGTTTAGATCTTTTTGCAGATGGTAGCTATGATGAACCATCATACAGAGTCGATGATGAGTATAGGAAAGGAAATAGGAGAGGTGCGGACTCAAGTGAAGTAGACCCTCCTTGGCCTACACATCAAACTTAAATGGTGGCACCCCTCCCCCAGTGGCCATGCCCCGTCCTGCAACCACACACCCTGATGTTGATGCTCAGGATGGGTGGACTGATGATCTTTCTGACTTTCCAGATATATAAAATTTGTCAGATATCTTTTCATAGCGACTCTTCAACATTTGTCAGTTGACACAACATCTATTTCTTGCAGAGACAAAGATATAAAAGGCATGCATATCGAATGAATGTACCATGCCCGTAATAGTTTTATGGAAAAGTTTTTTTCACGATTTAGCCACATATTCACAAACTCATAAAATTTCACACAGTAAAGGTATCACAAAAATTGTGTTTGATTTGTTGGGTATGTTTCAATGTCAGTTTGTGTAAAATTTCAATGCTGTACACAAAATAATAAGCTCACAGCGAAGTTTTGAAAACGGTCCTGAAAGCCTGGCATTCCTCAGTTACCCAGCCGAGAAATGCATGGCAGTGAGTGAGTTAATTGTCTATACTCAGCACCGCAAGACTGCGGTAGGGTTGGCTTACCATTTTATTATTAAACACAAGACAGTAGGCCCATTGCCTCGCAAGCTACTGTTCAGAAAACACTAACCTAGACATGAACATGAGAGAAAAAGACTGATTATAACACACAACAAAAAAGCTAAACAACATTATCAAGCTTACCTGAAATGTTTCCAAGCAGTATCCTCAGCTTGTCCTTCCTAATCGTTTGATAGGTGGATGCAACTACATGGCAAACAACTGGGATAGAGAAAACAGGAAAACAGATTACACATAGTCTTCAAATTCAAAGCACAAAGAAAAGCAAAAATATGTGAAACTGCTAGAAATTAAAATATGAACAGATAAAAAAATACAGGAAATTCATAAATACAGCCAAGCCTAGCTATCTAGCTGAGTCATGACTAACCAGCTTTCCTCTAGTCAAGCTTGTGATCGTCCTACGGTGGGTAGTATAACGATGTTTGACAGCATAAATATTAGAATAAAACAAGTTCAGTCCAATCAAACTTACTTGATTCCTGCAAATGATCGACTACAGACAATCAGTGCTACAACAATGACAGATCTGATGAGGTTTACAAACTTAGATAAGGACTCACATTTGCGTATCGAATCCTCAAATCCCAGAATTCCAATGAGAAGGTCCGGGTCCTCCATAAGGGCCAGCTGCACAAAAACAAAGAATGTTTGAGTAAAATTAAGCACATTGACACTATTATGGTCATTTCGTGCTGAAAAAAAGCAAGACAGAAGCAACAGAGGGAAAGTAAAACAGTAGGACCTACCAGTGGCATGCTCCAAAAACCCGCAAACAAAGAACAAGATGTACACAGAGACAATAAAACTCTACATCAACATACAAGGTTAGCGAATCCAATGTCACTGTCTGTCTACATTCATAAAGAAATGCTGCAAGGAGCTATTCTATTTGAGGTTTTTAAAAAAAGTTTCTTGTGGCTGGACACAATCCATTTTTAACTTGACTAGAAATTATGCATCTGTCAAACTGTGCCTATAGTCCCGTTTCTTTGGAACTATGGATCCCTCGAACTGCCGGGGCCGGTCCCGACAAATTCGAGCTATCCGTGTTATACTGTACTGTACTATTATTTTCCTATGAATAGTTAACACTTCTTGTAAGAAAAGAGAGCAATATTAAAATCAAGTGCAGATTTTCCAATGACAGAGATGCCAACCACAGAAAACCGAAATGAGTATTGGGAAATATGAAAATGTGTATTTTCAGGTGAAAATGTGTATTCCCCACGACCGACCGACCAACCAGTAGGCTAAAACAGCACCTGGACATGGATGGCTGGTGCCTCTATAAATAAATCATTGATGGTCGACCAACCAGTAATAGTAAAATGTTCTGGGTGTCCAGCAATATTTCCTGAAAAAAAATTACTAGCTCACCAGCTCGGAAAAGGGAGCACACATGCGTACAATATACATGTATCCAGCCAACAACATGTCAGTGTTCAATGTTGTACTGGGGTCTTGTTTGACTAAGTATATCAGTCTATTATATAATATTTTCCTCTCATTATTATTATTATATAAAAAATAAATCCTGCTTTGAGGGTTCGGAAGGGCCTAGAACAAGAATTTCGACTATCAAGAACCAGTCTGGGTGTCATGATTCATATTATGAACTGACTGACTCAAATTATTGCTCAAACTCAGAGAAAAGCAATAACTTGAATGGCTCAAGTAGACCCATGCACTGTGAAAGTTGTAACAACTGTGATAGGGCAAGATGCCGTGACACTGAAAATCTGCCAGTCTTGAACAAAAAGCTACAACATACACTGTAGGTATAATTTACTATCACCAATCCAAGTAGGTATAATTTACTATCACCCATCCAATGAAACGCGAACACTTTATTTCAATAACACAGACTTGCAAAGTATGAGGGGTCCCGATTCCGCGCATGGCCTGCACCAACGCGCGCTTTGCAGAAAGCTCTAATCAAAATTCTGAAGTGCTTCCAGGTTTTTGTCCTCTGGTGTTGCCTTAAACCCCCGATAGTATCTTACACCCCCCAAAAATCAATAATCTCCTCCCCTATTCCGTAGTCATATTATGACATATACTTCGCAAGGCCGTTACTCCCACAAAGACGGTCTTTGCTCACACGATGCTGCATTTATTTGTGATGCGAATGCGCACAGGGTCAGTGACCGGTCACGATGGCGAGCCAGACAATCTAAAAATCGGACGACGCTTGTATTTTCTTTTCTTTTTTTCCCCACAAGTGACAGCACAGCGACGAGTCAGAGTATTTAATACATTTTATTTGAACGGCGACATTGTGTTTATATTACACAACCTGCATGCCACAAATGTTGCGTTATCAGACAACTGCTGGCAAACTTCTCGGTGGTAACGAAAGCGAAAGTAGATCTTGATTTTCCCGATCGAGCCTCGGTGTCACATACGCTTCCGCCTGCCGCCGTAGCCGCCTTTTCGAATGAAAGTGAAACGTACTCGCTAGACGGGGAAAAGATGAACGAATATAATATCATGATCGCGACCGGCAATACTGACCACATCGGACTTGGTTTTCAAATATTCCAGTTCGGCGATACTGATACTATTTTGACAAAAGATGGGACCTGAGATAATTAAGTTTACTCAGCCAAGCTGAATTTCGTAGTTTTCGCATTCCAGGATGCGTATTTTTTCATGAAAAGTCGTATTCGCGAATTTTCGGCCAAAAATCGTACTAAAATACGTAAAATCGTACTGGTTGGCATCTCTGCAATGATTTCATAGACTTTATTCACGCAGTCTAGCATGCACATTGTGAAACATGCATATTCTTTGTTAATAGTGAAATTCGTACCAAAAAATTGCCATGTTCTGCCAATTTTGCTATGTGTATGCTTGACCGTATTTAGGTTAATGAGTTATGAATATAGACACTGGTCTATTTATAAATATTTGAAACACAGTATCAGATAAGTCCTCTTCTAAAAAATTCATAACCTGCAGGTCACATCCAAGTCAAAGAGTACAATTTGCTTACCCAAAAGTCTTGAAAATGAGCTGTTTCAAGGAATTCTGCAAGCTTCAAGACTTTGGCCACTGGCTCTTCACCCAGCTGTTAAATAGAAAAAACATGTCTATATATATATATATATATATATATCATATCAACGCAACAATACCTAAACAACACCAACAAAATTTAAGCATCATTTGGTACCTTTCACCAAGCACACACACAAGGCAAAAGATGCATTTTGAAAAATCCTGGGTTTTTAAATTTTTTTTATTTTCATGTACGAAGATCATTTCTCAACAATACGCCTTTTGAATTTTAAAGATATCTTCAGCAGTTTTTGAGATATGGGTGATTTTGTAAGGCAGGGTACGGAATCAAAGTTTTGAGAAAAACAACTTTAAAGTGTCCCCTTTGTTTCTGTTTCAAATAGTCTATGGATCTACGCTTCAAGACGACTTGATAACACATTTGCTACTCACAAACCAACTAACAAAAAAGCAGCTAAGACAAAAGACCATTTTCTTTATATTATGTCTTCAAAACAAATTCACCACCACTTTGAGCAAGAATTTTCAAAAAATAGATCTAAGTTTGCACAGAGCAGAAATATGCGATACAAGTTTGCTCTCCAAAAAGAAGAAAGGGTGTGGAGGCAAAAAGCTTCGCTTTGTTTACACGATCTAGATATTTATGTGCACTACCGGCCATTTGAAAGGGGAGAGAATGGCCTAAATTCCCATGCATTTTTGGGGATTATGCAATATACCTCGTGTTAAAAAACATCTTTAAAAATGTATTTTAAAGTAAAAGAAACTCAAGTCCTTGTGAATATTGATATATTAATGGCTTAAGATTCCATTTTAAATGGAACTTAGTTTTTTCTCTCCAAAATTCTATTTTTCACCTTTGAAGCGTGATATCTCGGTTCGAACAAATGCATCTTTTGGTACCTTTCACCAGGCACGTTCACATATGTGCTTGTAGCACCCCCCCCCCCCCAATCATTCTCAAAGCAAAAACTTTTTATGAAGCTCAATTTCACGCATGATATTCAGGACCATAATCAAATCACGTTCACAATAAATACACCCCCATATCTGTTTATAGGTTGTCTCAGACTAAGCCCACAGAGACTTAAGATCTGTCTAAGACACTAGTTTGAATGTCTGCCAAATAAATACATGATATATATATATATACTCGAGCTTCAAACTGCAGTCCCTACAAGGGACAAGAGGCAAGAGGCTGCCGCCTTCCAGGAAATATGCTGCATGCGCAATAGAGTAACTTAAAAATTACAACAATCCTTCACATTTCTTACAGGAAGTAATCATGCAAAAATCAATACCATGAAACTATTAATGAGCCAAAGAATAGAAAATGCACTTTGAAATTGTATCATACCCTTCCTGTTTCTATCAAACACTTGCACAGGATGAAGTCCGAGTTTGGGAGATTTGTCAGAGCTTTCAGCAGAACAGTGGCAGTAACTCCAGTCTGGTACATGCTTGGGTTAAACTGGTACCTGTAGCACAAATAACAAAATTATTTCATGATAGAAAATGAAAGTCTGTAATTACAGCAAAATATAAGTAAATGTCCTGATCTCATAAACATAATTTAGATTTTTAGAGGTGGGTAGAAGTTCAACTCAACCAATAAGGACCAACCTGTACTGTGTATGAAACACCCTAAGAGAAAGACTGAGATGATCAACAGAAAATTTTCTAAAGGGGGGAGGGAGGATTGAACCCACATCTTTTCAACGTAACAGTAAGAACCAAACCATTACACCACAGATGCCGTAGTATAAAAGGAAAGATTTCAAAACAAGACAAGGATATAGTAACTAAAGAGAAAGGCAAGAGAAATCAATTCTTCTTCGATAATGCAGTACAGTTTTAATGTACTGTTCTGTCTGTTCTTATAATTAAGTACTCATTATAGGGAATCATTGTCATTACAACTCATGGCAACCGCCTGACCCAAGCTCTCCAGCTAAAGAATCAAACGGTTCGTACATCTCATTCAATTACCAACACACCACCCAGCGCAAGGTGCCTACATAAAAAAATTTGATGGCAACAAGGCTAGAGGGTGACCGAGAAAGACCTGGATAGATGGAGTCAGGGAAACATTAACCATCCATGGCATCATCCTGACCAAAGCCCTCCAGCTGGCGACAGAGAGACGTTTCTTTCTTCCCGCGACAAACAAAAGGGTATAAGTGGCGAATAAAAGTAAGTAAAGTATTGTCATTACATCTAGAACTTTTATTCCAATGACTGAAATTATAAATTGATGATGGAGATGCTGCAGCATAAAAAAATACAGATAACGTGAGGTGATGGACAAAAAGCATGCTTTGTGACTGCATTGCATTTGAAACACACAATCACACCTTAAGTATGAGCTCTCATCTCTACAACAAGAAACAGAATGACAAAGGCATACGGACAGAAGTAAACCGTGACAATTTTTGCAAGCAATGTGAAAGAAAAGCATAAGTAATAAAGAAAAGCCTCGGAACAACTCATGAAATGGATCCTTCAGTTCTTGGTAAAAACACTGAACAATCAGTCAAGAATGTAAAATAAAAAATAAAAAAATTACTCACAACTTCAGTACAGCTAAGTTAGCCTCCAGGTCATATGTGTTCTCACTGGCTTGCATAGCCACATATCTTTCCAGAGTTTGAAGGTTTTCAGGATTGTACCTAAAAAACAAGAACAAAAAATAAAAGTAAAACTCAAAATTTTTAAAACAAATATTTTTTTGGGGTGGTTTTAGTAAGCACTTTACTGCACTTGCAATACAATTAGGTCCTATAAGTGCCAAAGATTAGGTGTTACAAGAGAGTAACAAACACAAAAAGGAAGAGAGATAAGGACGAATATGTTTGATAGGATTAGGATGATGAAAGGAGGAGCAAACCACACCTGAGCTCCCGTACTTTTAGAATAAAATACAAAACAAATCAAGACTCGTAGCGCGCGTCACTGTGAAGCTAGTCTACGTGAACTAACACACACATCTGCCGAGTGACCCCCCCCCCCCCAAACTCTGGCAGTACAAGAAGTTGGGTCTTATCAGAAGATAGGCTTAAGACTCGCATCGCAGCACAGAAGCAGAACAGGAGTCGTGAGTAGTTAACCCTCATCCTGCGGGAGGCAGGTTCATGTTCCCCGATAAGCCTATTTTGGCACCCCGCCTTCCGTGGCTCAGTGCACGCTGAGCATCCTCTATCTGATGACCAGGTCCCGAATTCCAGCAGCTCTAGTCTGCTTGAGTTTGTGTGTGTTTGTGGCCTCTTCTAGAAGAACCACCAGTGTTGGTTCGTAACCGACGCGTACGTTTCACACGCCAGGTTGGTAGCTGTAGATTATGTCAAATGAAATTAGAACAAACTGACCCACTTATTAGACATGAGCCTATGAGGAGCTAGAAAGGATAGCCAGTAAATCTGAGGGAAAATCTTTCAAATGAGCTCGATATTATTTAAAATGATAATAAATGACAAAAATAAGCTTATTATTTGATAATTCTGAACCATTGTGCAGGTAAAAACAAAAATTTGAGATCAAAACATTAGGAAATTGACCTAGATCTATCATTTCCTTTCGAACCCCAGACCATTAGCATCCACAAGAGCATCTAAATGGTTTGTTCGAATGGGCGTAACTACTCGTACGTAATGACTTATTCAGCTTATATGAGAAGGGGTATTCATGTGTTCGTAACACTTCATAAATAGAAAGTTATATAGAGCAGCGTTATTTTCATCAGACTAACACACCCTCATGGTACTCATGGCGAAAACAACACATTTCCCGGGCCGCTCGCTGTACACTTACAGTTGGCCTACACGCTAGTGACCCTGGCGGCCCACTGGGAACATCCGCGGTAAGAAGTTACTGATAAGACAGGGGTCTCGGAACAGACACAGGGCAGGAGTGAACAAAAAATAATTGGGTGTTTCAGGGGCATGCCCCCGTGTATTTAGATCTAGATCTAGATCTATATAATATCCAACATTTGCGGGAAAGGATGAGGGCTGGATTGTACTTTACCGGACCACCCGTCTCGGCCCGTGATTACTACGCACGCCTAGCCTAACTACGCACTCATAGTACTCTGTGTGCGGACAAAAGGTAGTTCCGCGGGCGACTTCGCGCACGCACAGCGAAGTCAGCGGCGACTGGCGAGGCGAGGTGAGCGAGAGGTGGTGGTGGTTGAGAGTGGGCAGGGGATTTAACTTTGGTGGACCACCGTGTATCATACCAACAGTGGGGTGGGGGTGGGGTTCAGGGGGGCTTGCCCCCCTGGAAACTATAATAAAGAAAACACACAAAAATGCGAAACAATAACATGAGCGGACAGTCGTGTTTACATATCAGTGGGGGGGGTTCAGGGGGGCTAGCCCCCCTGGCAACAATAATTTAAAGACACTCACACACACACATATAAACAATAGCATGATAAGTCGCGAGCAGGGCCAATGGGGTTGCAATTATGCAAATGAGCTCTCGTGCCCATCTCTAGCCCTCCATTGTACTTTGCCGGACCAGGAGTAGGCCTAGGGCCTAGGCCAAGCCAGCAGAGTCGCGAGCAAATAAGAATAGTGGACCACGTGATTAGATTGACCAATTAGCCTCAAGGTGTCAGGGTCATGGGTCAAAGGGCACAGTGGCACGGTCGTGATGACTGAAAAACCCGGTAAGAGACGGCAGTCGGTTGCTGGCAGTTGAAGAGTGAGGACGTAGAAAACTGAGTAGGAGAGTGAGTAGGGGAGCTCGGAAACGAAGAACAGCGGGCCACTAGGCACCAGGGGCGCCACAGCGAAAGTAGTTCCGACCGGTGGTCCGGTAAAGTACAATCTTACCAGGATGAGATTTCAGAGTGTAGAAATAGTGCCCAGCTTTATTTTCCCGAACGTTCGGAGAAATAGTGCCTAGATCTAGCTTTATTTTCCCGAACGTTCGGAGAAATAGTGCCCAGCTTTATTTTCCTGAACGTTCGGAGGAGAAATAGAATCTAGTGCCGGCCTATAATAATTCCATATCAAAAGAAGCAAGTCATTGAGGGGATCTGTGATCTGAATTATTCATGTTGATGACACACTGAAGGTTGAAGCATGTCACAACTGTTGGCCAGAAGAAGAACAATGGGCTATAAATACTGTCCATACGGCACCTTTCTGTCCTGGGATCTCTGGTCTCAGCGGCCACCCCTCTCAACAAAATGATGTGGGGAGCCGGTTAGAAGGCCGATAGATCGTGTTGTATGCTGAGAAACGATTCAGGGCCTTTCTTTTATTATCATAGACTTTTCTATAAAACTTCTACTAAACTAGATCTAGTTAGGGTAAGTCCGAGATCACCAAGAACTGACACAGTGAAAACATACCTGTCAATCCCTTTGAGCAATGAGGCCACGGTTGCTTGCATTGCTTCCGCCATCTTGGTAGCTTGTGAAGTGGTCAGGATGTTTCGCGTGTCATAGTTGAATTTTATTTTTTCCCGGGATTTGGTGATTTTTATGTTTTTTGTTGTTCACTGATTTTGTTTATAAATCATATGTTCTCCAAAATAAATTAGGTCTATTGATAAAACTTGTTTTTCCTGTCTCAAGAATATGGTATATTTTCTGTCAAACGTATCTCTTGTGTTGTTATTTACAATCATATAAGATAAAATTGACATCAAATTTGGCAACCCCTTCATTTATCATGAAAACCAGGAAAGTCTTCAAAGGAAGGGAATCAAAGGAAGTTCCTTCCACCGTTCCTTCCTTGTTGTCGCCCGTTCTTCAGCCCCGCTACTTTCGATTTAGAATCTTGTGCGACAGAAAAAGGTAAGACTGACCCAAGGAGGTTATAGATCTAGATCTATATATACTTATACAGGGCTACCGGCGCTTTTTCGGTAGTTCCTACCCCCCTTATTTGATAGAGCCTGACCTACATCTATATCTAGATATAGATCTAAAATCTATATATACGTTTGATTCGCGGCAAGCTAAGATGTCAAACCTAACAACTGCAAAACATGAAATTGTGGTAAAATTCAGGGGGGCTTGCCCCCCTGAAACCCCCCACCTTGTTTTTATTAGGTCAGGGGGGCAAGCCCCCCTGAAACCCCCCTACTCTTGGGGCCAAAACCGGCGAATAACAAATGCGGGGTGGGAACTACCGAAAAAGCGCCGGGCTACCCTTATAGTAGATCTAGTCTCCGCCTAAGATCCCACCGCTTACGATCCCAGTTCGCTTATGATCCCGTTGTTTTAGGAAAACATAATTTTTACTATACAAAAGTCACCCCTAAGATCCCGCTCTGATGGCAGTGATGGTCTACATTCGGCTAAGATCCCGCATTTCAGATCATGATTTGCTAAACAAAAACCCGGGCAGGACAGCCGATCAACCAAGAGTGAAAAGTTGAGATCAATAAACTGTCCGTCGCATCAAAGATCAGCCACTAACGTGAATGTGATCACATACACGTTGTAAAACTCGATGAAGCGATACAATGATTAATGTTTGCCCCAGACGGGATCACACCAGGGTGTGAACTGACCGACGCATTTGTTTTCCCCACGCATCGCTCTCACACCTGAGCTCGCCACCTAAACTGGCATCACTCGCTAGGTATGTAGGGCCTACACGTTCGGTCCAGGCGGGATCCGGGATCACATTGAACCGTGAACTCTTCCTTGACCATTGCAGCAGTTGTCTCTACTCCCGAATTTGCGAGACAGACTGAATTTTAATTGGTGCGTTCACAACATAATGGTGTATAACGACAAAGGCGGTTTGGAGGGGGGGGGGGGAACTTGGTCAGAGATGGAAAGCTATACATTTTTGACAGGTAAAGAGGAGGGGCAACTGGATAAGCGTAGATCTTGAGACTCATGATAGGATAATAAGTGAAAATGGCACGCCTCATGCCACTATGCACTATGATAGGTCATCAAGGTTAACCACTGTTTGCTCGCCATACGTCTTAAACCCACCAAGGGGTCACGCCAGTTCATTGTAGAGTGGAGGGAGACCGTTTTACCGATTGTGAGCCTTAACATGGGTCTCCATAGATTCTTCCCTGGGTTCATCGATTAAGATCCCAGTTCGCCTAAGATCCCGCATTTCCTTGCTCCCGAGCACCGGGATCTTAGGCGGAGACTACTGTACAGGTTGTTAATGTTAGGTCCTTGGACTGACCGCATATATTTCTTTTTCTTTTCGGTTTGTTTGAAAAGGGAAAAGGCTGTACATAGATTCTACTGTATAGTTATTCGCACAGGGTGTGTAAACTATGATAGTTAACTATGGAATTGTATTCGCACAGGGTGTGTGAATACTATGAGAATTCGGGGCGATTTTGTAGTTTCGTTCGTTATAGTCAAGAGTAGGGGAGCCCTCCAGACCTAAAAAAAAAAAGGTAGCGTCAATTGCCACCGAGTGATGCGGTGGCAATTTAAAAAACGCAGTGGCTATTTTTACGGCGAGCCGTAAAGATAGCCTCCCAGTGAGTCCCAGGCTATTTTTACGGCGAACCTCGAAAAGCGACCCTACTCCGCCTCTCATATACGCGACATGCCTCAATGTATTAGATCTAGGCCTATAGTAGGAGCCGTTCAAAATATAAACTTACACCTCAGAGGGGAAAGGGTGTCTTTGGCTTCTGTAAGAAAAGTGTAAGATTGGGTGGGGAGGTTAACCGAATATGACACTTCTGTGAGATGAACGTTTTGCTCATGACTGGGAAGAAAAGGTAAAAGAAAAAGTGGATAAATGCCAGTAACAAGACCCAGATCTGCATGATCACTGCAGGTCCCCGTCGTTGCTTTTTTTCTTTTTTGAGAGGAAAGGGGGGGGGGGGGGGGGGGTTACAAATAATTTTGAAATTATGATGAAAATTCTGTCGGTGGATATCTAATTTCTTAATGTTTCTTTGTAACTTTGCAACTGATTTGCTGATCTTTTAATGTCTTGATGTCTTTTATTTGTAAGGTACGTACCTATTGCATTGACAAGAGTCTCAATGTCTTCCACATTTATGCATTCTTTCTAGTTCATATGGTTTGATTAAATTGTATTAACTGAAATGATTTTTTTTTTACAAGCTGGTTAAAAAAAGCCACGTACAGTACAGGTATCTTTAAAATAATAATGGAAGTTGAAGATCGGAAAAAGTACTAATATTAAATTGGTGTGGATGGGGGTTGGAGGCAAATGTGAGAAAAGTGGTATTTGGGTTTTGTGTTTTAAAAACGTCCCCAAAAGTGTAAGATTATATTTGAACAGCCTCATAGGTTTTCCATTTCCTCCTCTTCACCATCATCATTCTATTCTCTTCTTCATCTTCCTTCTCCCTTTCTCCACCACCACCTCTTCCTTTTTCTCCCCACCATCATCATTCACCCTCTCTTTATCATCACCACCACCATCACCTCCTCGTCATTATCATAACCATCACCACTGCCACTGCCAGCATCATCATCTCATTCACAGACATCACTACATTATGTACCACACCCACAAGAAGAGCGGCCATTTTGGAGTTAACACTTTTCGCCTTGGGAATGCCTATAAAAATTTTCCTCCTTCCTTTGCACTGAGCAGATTTTTGATAGAGGTGTAAAATATTTTGTTGTTGTTCACAGTGATTAATTTATTAATTATTGTGATGCAATTTCAGGGTACAGGAACACACATATATATATATATTTTTTTTTTTCATTTAAATATCAAAATTTTGCTCAGTACGATTGACCATAGTATCTGTATCTACCATTCCATGAATTTTCATGCAATTTTGCTAGATAGTAGAAGCCTTCGGTTTTTAAAAATAATTATTTGTTTTGCATGTTGGTGCTGTTTCCATTCCATGGCAACTTTCATATTTTCGGACTTATCAAAATTTACTTTTTTCATTATTTCTTATGCCGTATAATTTTTTTTCCTATATATGAATTGGAAAAAGAATCACCCTTGGGGTGAGCTGTTCCCCGTAAAAATGGACAGTAATAATATGAGCACATCAGAAAACAAAAAACAAAAACTTAAAAAATGCGATCTATTTTATTATTTGAAAGAATCCCACAACAACAAGGTCCTAGTAAAGAACATAAAAACATTGAATTGTTTAAAAGTCCAGAATAAAGACTATAATAATTATGAAGCCAATAACACCCTTTCCCCTCTGAGGTGTAAGTTTATATTTTGAAGGGCCCCTACTATAGGCCTAGATCTAATACATTGAGGCATGTCGCGTACATGAGAGGCGGAGTAGGGTCGCATTTCGAGGATCGCCGTAAAAATAGCCTGGGACTCACTGGGAGGCTATCTTTACGGCACGCCGTAAAAATAGCCTGGGATGCTATCTTTACGGCTCGCCGTAAAAATAGCCACTGCGTTTTAAAAAATTGACTTTTTGTCAATTGCCACCAAGTGAAGCGGTGTCAAGTCTGAAAAAACACTAGATCTAGATCTATTTTTAGCATTTATACATAATAATACTAATTTCATTGGACGAGCATGTAGTCTAGAGCTACGGTACCAACTTGGCGTGTTTTCAATGAGACGTAGGCCTAGATCTAGGCTAGCCTTAGCCTACACTTTGGTGTAGAACCAACACAGGCAATTCTAAAAGTAGAAGGTCACAAACGCACACAAACTCAAGCAGAAATTCACGTTATATCGGGGAACATAAATCGGGGGACGGGGGTGGGGAAAAGACACACACACACACAAACACACACAGAGGGACAGAGAGGCGAACGCACAACACCGAGCACTTGAGCACAATAAGCTAGATCTAGATCTACCCTCCAAAGCAAAAGAGCTCCAATTTACTCGGTGGCAATTGACAAAAAGTCAATTTTTGTCAATTGCCACCGCGTCACTGGGTGGCAATTGACACTACCAAAAAAAAAATATGGAGGGGGAGGGGGGGTTCAGGGAGTTGATGTTTGCTGTTCTGCCGTAAGCTGACAAAACGCCTTTTTTTGTCCAGAGCAGTTTTGAGAAATCAACAATTTTCAGTTTTCTTACAATTTTAGTAACAATATCTCGACTATTTTGCACAAGCAGATCTACATCAACGTTTGAACTCGCACCTTCATCAGAATGTCATTCCGTATGTACAACATAAATTTTGTTTATTTTCTTTGAGAAATAAACAAATAATCACGAAAAAAGGTGTTTTGTCAGCTTTGTCTTGCGTTTTAATAAAAATGCCTTTTTTTAGATGTTCGCTGTCAGAACGCCTTTTTTTTAGTCGCTGGCACGAAAAAAAGGTGTTGTGTCTGCGAAATGTATTTAGCCGTGCACACCTTTTATTGATAAGTGAGAATTGGGAGACGGGAGATGAGGCACAGAATCCCTTTGAAGTTTTGCATGATTAAACTATGTGTGTAGAATCGCTGGTAAAAACTGATTTTATTTTCGGAATCAGCATATCAAAATAAGAAAAGTGGGTCGCATGTAGCCTGATTTGATACCACAAATAAGCAAACTTTGTTTTCGAATTGTCAGGTAGATTCTATGCAGGTCAGCCACTGTGTATGCATTTGATGTCAAAGCTGATAGGCCTAGATCTAAAGATAACTTAACCACTGACTGGACAATTTATAGGCAATGCAATTTCAACTGGACGGCACCCATGCCCATGGTTCTCGAGTAGAATTAGGGGTCATTGTGACGTCAAAGAGGTCATCCTGTCCGCAGTCTTGTCCATCGAGATTTATTAATATTAGTTTAAACCGCTTCATACTTCATATTATATTTATTATAACACCTAGATATCTTCACATGGATGAAAATTTTAAAAAGAGATCGATCATTTCTCTGCCCCCTCCCTCCCCCCCCCTCTCTCTCTCTCTCTCTCTCTCTCTCTCTCTCTCTCTCTCTCTCTCTCTCTCTCTCTCTCTCTCCCTCTCTCTCTCTCTCTCTCTCTCTCTCTCTCTCTCTCTCTCTCTTCTCTCTGTGTACGTGTGTGTTGTGTATAATGTGTGTGTGTGTGTGTATGTGTGTACACGTGTGTGTGTAAATGTGTGTGTCCGTCTGTCTCTCAGTGTTAGCTTTTATAATAGTATGTTTGTGTGTGTGTGTGTGTGTGTGTGTGTGTGTGTGTGTGTGTGTGTGTCTGTGTGTGCCTTTATGAGTGAGTCAGAGTGAGTGCGTTTGTCTCTGTCAGTGAGTGAGTGTGTGTTTGTGTGTGTGTGTGTGTGTTTGTGTATGTGAGTGTGTTTGTAAGTATTTTGTTTGTGTGTGTGAGTGTGTGTCTGTGTTTGTTTGAGTGAGTTTGCATGTGTGCGTGTGTGTGTATGTGTGTGTGTAAGCCTGAGTGTGCTTGTGTGTACGACTGTTTGTTTGTGTGTGTATGTGTGTGTGTGGTGTGTGTTTGTGTGCATGTGAGTGTGTGTCTGTGAGTCTGTATGTGTACATGTGTAATAATATGTATATGTGTGTGTTTGAGTGTGTGTGTGTGTGTGTGTGTATAAGCCTGTGTGTGCATGATCATACCCAAGACAAGAATCACTGTTACAATGTTGGGACCAGACAATAAAAAGGCATTCTGTCTGCGTTTTCCTTGAACAGAGTTTGCTGACAGGGCGCCTTTTTTCCAAAGCCGTGGTGAACTCTTAAAAAATTGTCAGCGTAACCATATAAAAAGGCGTTCTTTCGAAATTTGAATGTTATTTTATTTTAAAAACTTTGTCACAGTTTCACTTTTATCTTTTTTACACAAGTAGGGTAACAGGTCAGACTGTCGATTTAGCAAATAAAAAATTTTCGCGCCAAAATGAAAAAAGGCATTTTGTCAGCTTACGGCAGAGTTAGGTTGCATCCCTGCTCTTTGTGTTGCCTATTTATTGGTTATCAAGACTTATGGATTTCTTTTCTGGTACCCTTCTCTGGATGTAAACAAATGGGTCGTGGACTTTAACGAATGGAACTACAAGATCACCGAATTATGAATCTTCCCTAACAATAACTGAATCCACCAAGTCTCTAAATAAAACATTCCAAGCAGGAAAACTTTACTTTACTTTTCTTTTATCCGCCCCTTGTACCCTTTTTCGGGTATTGCGGGAAGAAAGAGAGGTCTCTCTGTCGCCAGCCGGAGAGCTTGGGTCAGGGGGATGCCGTGTTTCCCGGTGGCGTCGGTAGCCTAGTGGTTAGGCTACCGGACTCGTAATCGTGAGATTGCGAGTTCGGGGGTTCGAGCCTCAGCTCGGTCTGACGTTGTGTCCTTGGGAAAGGCACTTTACACGAACTTCCCACTTGGCTCGGTCCTATCAGAGACGGACGTTAAACTAGGAAGTCCCGCCCCTTAAATAACCTAATAGTGTTGATACGGGCGTTAAACCTATACCATTTCACCATTTTCATTTTCGCCGTGTTTCCCTGACTCCATCTATACAGGTCTTTCTTGGTCACACTCTAGCCTTGTTGCCATCGAATTTTGGGATGTAGGCTCGTTGTGCTGGATGGTGTATTGGTAATCGTAGGAGATGTCCGAACCATTTGATTCTTTGGTGTTGGATATGATGCATGACATCATTTGTGCCCACCATTTCTCGGAGTACTGAGTTTCTAATTTTGTCTCGTCTGGTCTTGTTTACTACTTTTTTAAGGCATAGCATTTCACATGTTGTAATTCTATACTCTAATGTTTGTCTTGTTCAAGGTCCATGTTTGGCATTGATAAGTGAGTGTTGGGATGAATATGGCGTTGATCATTTTAAGTTTTGTTGTCATGGGGATGTTAGGATGTTTCAGTAGTGGAGTAAGCTGGTAACTAACATTACTGGCCTTTTGCACTCATGTTTCTATTTTTCTGTTCCGTCGCCCATCCTCTGTGAATATACTTCCGAGGTACTTAAATTCTTGGACCTGTCTGAGACTTTTGTTGTTGATGTGTATCCTGAGTGGTTCTGGCTTTCTGCTTACTTTTATTGTCTCTGTTTTGTTAATGTTGATCTTCATGTCGTAGTTGTTACATTCTTAGATTAATCTGGTGGTGTGGTGTTGGAGACTTCGTTCTTCTTTGTGTGCCAAGTTTTGGTCATCAGCGAGGAGTAATTCATTTAAGGCATCTGGTTCTGTGTTGACCTCTTTTGTAATTCTATCCATATATATATGATAAATAGTAGTGGTGATAGCACACTACCTTGTCTTACGCCGGATGTTATCTCGAACCATTCTGTGAGTCCCTCTGACGTTCTTACTGTACTTATGCTGGAAAACTCCCAGTAAAAATCTCATGTGATTTATAATAAAACTGAAATACAAACAAATTTTTTAAAATTCCATAACCATCCTTGAGCATGTTCTTAGCATGCCTTTCCACTTGTTTTCCCCCCTTAATTATTTCCAGCACCTCATGTTACCCACTGCAAATGGAACAAGACACACAAGTTCTTTCTTGGACTGGTAATTAGTTGCTTGGGTTTCTCTTTTTTCCAAGCTTTCGATGGTTGTATCACAATATAATAAAATATATTTAGTGAAATGGCCTTGTGGCTGACCTTTCCAGATTTCTGATTGTGATTAAAATAAAGTCTTGCCCATCTTCAAGATTTTGAAAATTAATACCTTGTCGATGATAAAGACAGCTGATGATAGAAAGAATCAAAGTTCATTATCTGGTACCACACTTCATTTTGTAGAACTCATCCAAGTTCTCTGATTTGGGGTCTAAGTCAATGGGAAGGTGTAAATACAAGACTTATGCTAAATTACACTTTAAATAATGATGCTTGTTGGAGTCTTGCACCGAACCTTCGAAGTGGGGAAGAAGTAAAAGAAATGACTTGTATCTGTACCACCCTGTTATTTACGTGGAACAAAATTTTAAGACAAAAAAAAATACTGGTCCAGTAGTTAGCAATGAATGTCTCCCCTGTCCCATACCCCCTTATGTGCAATCCATTATTGTTTCTGTTACAGTAGCCTCTGCCTAAGATCCCACCGCCTACGATTTTGGTTCGCTTTAAGATCCCGCTGTTTTAATCAAACAGAATTTTTACTATATAATATAAAAGTCCTCCGTAAGATCCCGCTCTGTATGATTACATGTTGCTAAGATCGCATATTTCAGATCATAGTTTACGGTGCAAAAACCCAGGCGCACATTGCTGATTGATCAATCAATTAAAATTTTCAGTCATTGTACTGCCTGTTGCGTCACAGATCAACCACTCGCAAGAATATAATCCCAGCACCGTTGTAAATCTCGATTGGATAGTACTATGTTTGCTCCAGATGGGATCACACTGAGGTGTAAACTCATAGATCTCTACCTGAATTTACATTACATGCATGGTAGGTAGGTAGGGCCTATCGATACGTTCATATCAGGCTCATGAATTTGCTAGACAGACGGAATTTTAATTGGTGCGATCACAACACAGTGCTGTGTTATGACAGAGGTGGGGGAACTCGGTCAGGTAAAGAAGAGGAGCAATAGGGTCAACATAGATCTTGAGACTCATGATTAAATCAGCGAAAATGGCATGCCTCATGCCATTGTCACTGGTCATCAAGGCTGACCACTCTTTGCTGGCCATAAGTCGTTAACCCCACCCAGGGATCACGTCAGTTTATTTCAGTGTAAAGGGAGACCATTTCACCAATTGTGGGCCTGAACATGAGTCACAGTGGATTCTCCATTTGATGTGTCGGCTAAGATCCTATTCGTCAAAGATCCCACAATTTTCCTGGCCCCCAAGCACTGGGAGCTTAGGTGGAGACTACAGTGTGTTTATTATAAGGTGAAAATCAGATAAATTATAAGAATATAGTGTATACCATTTTTTGTATTTTTGACTCTATAATATCTGGATGGATGGCAAAAACAGTGACTCTATAACATTGCTCAAAATAGTGTATCCATCTGTACTTTTACAGAATTAAGACCATGGATGGGAAACATCAGAGTTCAGAACTCACTGATGATGACAAAGTTCTCAAGGCCAGGGAACTCAAAGATAAAGGCAATGCTGCCTTCAAGGAGGGTCAGTATCAGAGAGCTGTTGGCAGTTATCACAGAGCCATGCTGTACATCAAAGGTCTCAGTATCAACTCTCCCTCCCCTCTTGGTGGTTTGGCTGCTGCTTTTGGAGAAAATGCCCCTGGGATGGAAAAGGTACAGATGTCACCTGAGATGGAGGCTGAAGCTCGGAGACTGAGTTGTGACTGTCACAACAATTTAGCAGGTGAGCAACCCCAACCCTCACTCATTGCCCCGCTCGTTTATGTACAGTCATGTCTTCTTAACAGCATCCTTTTTGGGAAGCAAGCTTTGGTTGTTATTGGGCGAAGGTTAATACTTTGCTGAATTATCAAGGGGGGGGGGGGGGGGTGGTTTTTTTCCCCCCCCCCCCCCCCCCCCCCCCCCCACACACACACAACACACATACACACTCACATACACAAGTCTTAATTGCTTGATGTGGTGACGTTTTTATGTCCGAAAGTGAGAACATTGGCAATATCAATGAATGGATGCTAGATCACAGGGCAGAAATGAGTTATGTTATGCACAATGGCCATGACACCCCTGCCTGCCAGCGGATACTTTGAAGTAAGGTAGTTCTTTGTGGCCTGCTATGAACTGAGCTCCAGTCCGGAGCTTGGTGTATTTTTTTGCAAGAGATTGTGTTATGAGGAGATACAGAAAAGAAGAAGGATCAATGCACACAAACATCTTGAGTCAGTCTGTGTTCACACTGTTTTTGTATCGGCAAAATAAAATTGCCAAACAATGAAGACATTGGAGATTGTTGTTGGAGGAAAAGGTTGCTATTGAAGGGAACTATTTATATAGTCTCGTGGTTAGGCTATTGAATTCATAATCTTCAGGTTGCGGATTCGGTGGTTCAGCCTCGGGCCGGACATTGTGTCCTTGGGAAAGGCGTTTAACACACATTTTCCTCACTTCACCCAGGTGTGAGTGGGCACCCGTCCGTAGACAGCGTGAGATCTTATAAGCACTGTGTGTTAATGTTTTAGCGCCTGTAAAATGGCAGCCTGCACTGTATGCTTCTCTGGAAGTTGAGATTGTTTCAGAATGCTATCAGGTCTGTTGGGGGAATAATATAAATTGTAAAGCGCATAGACAACTGTTGAAGGGGAATTTGCGCTACACAGATGCTGTCTGTTATTATTTGAGGAAAATCATATCACATGAGCTTAGATTGTTGCTTGGTAGAGGTTGCTCTAATCTGGGTTGCTGTTAAGTGGACTCCAATGTATTACTGACAATAAGTAGGCTTTTTTGATCGATTGTACCTGATTGTAAATATGTTGTTATGCCCCCATCATCACAATTTATATTTTTTCAGAGGCAAGGAGCGAACCTGGACTGACACTTAATATATTTAGTATATCAATAGACAAGATGGAGATGCTAAATATAATAGCTTCTCCTGTCAGGAATCAAACTCAGGTCTTCTGTGTGTTGCAATGGAGAACCTAACTAGTACACAAGAGACCCAATGTATGCTTTTGTTCTCTTTCAGAAAGCATCTTATGTACTGTAAATCTTGTTCTTAACTTTTTTTTAAAAGGGGAGTTTGTACAGTTCCAATGCCATCAAGATGTTTAGTTTTGTTAGAGAAATGACTATGAAACTAAGGAAGTTAAAATGTTGATGAGTTGATGCTTTATACATTAGTTTGAGACAAATCCTTGAAACTGAATTGTCTGGTTAGCTACAGAGCAAAGATGACTAATCGACAGAGAAATTACTTAATTATATAATAAATGTAACTACTTTCTGCTTCAACTCTTAATTCCTTCAACAGTTATGCAAATTTCTTTTATTGGATTTGTTTTCTCATCCCAGTCTTAATATAGGATTTGTTTATTGAAGGAAATAATACAGGAGAACTCGACTACAGCGGCTCCCGCTACAGCGGGACCATCCCTACAGCGGGACCTTACCGGAATCCCCCTTTTTTTCTATATATAAACTCAATTACCTGTGCTCGGGTTTAGCAGGGCAAGGAAAGGCCCGAACTCGGATACAGTGGGAGAGATGGAGCAAGCTCCGGCTGGGGGAAGGGGGTTGGGGGGCTGTAGGCAGGCTCCAAACTGGCATTCAGCGGTGCGGCGTTGTGAATGGCCAATCCAGTGATGAGTGAGGTGGGGCAGGCGACAGAGAGAGCTGGTGCGGAGAGAAGCGTTACGTGAGGCACTTCAAAAGTGATGTGCCGTAGCTTAGAGGCTCAGGATGAGAGTGTATATGCCATAGCCCTAGGCTAGGCCAAAAAGTAAAAAAAGAGGAGAGCATGTAGTGTGTGAATTCCTGATTCATTGAATTGCGATCGTTGGTGCTCATAGGCATATGTACGTTGCCTTTCCAGTATGATACACAGCACAAGCAATGAGAACGGGGAAAAGATGGCTTCCAACAAGAACAAAAGGAAATGCTTCTCACTCTAATTGAAAGCCGAGGTAATCAATGAAGTTGACAAGAAAAGGAAGACTAATCAAGAGCACAAATTTTATTGATATAGCAGGGACGTATTCATGTAGATATTTAGAAAATTTTCGATAATTTCCTCTTTGCATTCCTATAGCGGGAACTCACAGCGAGATTTTTCTTCTGGAACAAAATGTCCAGCTTTAGCCATGTTCTACTGTACATATATCATGTTGGTTGATCAAACAGTTTATATGGACTTGTCTTTTTCCTCAGCATGTTTACTCAAGGAATCAGAGCCAAAGTACAGGAGGGTCATTGACCTTTGCAATAAAGCTCTTGAATCTTGTCCTGGTAATGTCAAAGCTTTGTACAGAAAAGGGACCTCGCTATATGCTCTCGGAGACTTTGAAGAAGCTCTCACTGCATTGGAGAAAGCTGGCCAAGGTATTACACATGAGTTGCAGATGTGGTCAATTTTTTGAAAAATTAGAGAAAACTCCCTTGTCCTTGGGCCATTAGATGCATTTGCTATTTCTTGGTCATGGTGAATTTATGGGAAGGGGGGGGGGGGATGGGCTCATTCAATAGGTCCCGGGTTGGAAACCTGTCAGTGACAAAAAATTTTCTTCTCTAAAACGTTCTCCTTTCACCTCCTTTCCCTTTTCTGATCTCTTATCATGTTCTGTCATCTGCTTTCATCTCCACTTTCTAAGGCTCTTTACAAAGATGCATTATCAGTGGATAGTTTCTATGATGTTTCTGCTGACCTCACGATAACAAAGACACTCGTACATAGTGGAAAATAATGTGTATAAGACATTTTTGTATTTGCTTTTCTATGTCTAGAACGTCATAGAAAGCCCAAGATTATCTTTATAATTAGTTGCTTTTATGCCGAATTGATCTATATTCTGAAAGTGTAGGGGGCAACTTTTAATGCTTATGGACCATTTTGTTTTTATTTTCTATTTTTTAGTGCTCTAATATTATGGAAGGCAGATTGTTTTTTACTTTTGTATTATTTTATGCTGCATAGGTTTATTTTCCAAAACTGTGGGGTGCTCCTTTCTGTCTTATGCAGTATTACTGTTCTGTATTTCCTCTTCTAATACTGCATTTGGCTCCTTTCTGTAATAGCTACTAACAAATAATCTTTTTTGAGGGAATGGCTTGTGCTAGATGAGGATAACAGCTATATGACTCAGCCCTAGGCTTTTTAAAAAATGCAGATCTTAATGACTGTAAGGCCAGTGATGTGCACTATATTGTGTCTTTGTTTCTTGTGACGTTTATTATATGTGACGTCATATGTTCGCGTGTGCGTTGATAAGGACTTTGATCAGTTTTTATTATGACTCTGATGTAGGCAAATCTGGATGGTGGATGGATGGCGGGTACTCTGGTGTGGTTTGCTCCTTCTTTCCTATCGAACATCGTCCTGATCTCGCCTTCTTTTTTGGGTTTGTTACTCTCTTGTAACATCTCTAATCTTCGGCACGTGGGTGGTTGTGGGTGCTCTGGTGTGGTTTGCTTCTTCTTTCCTATCAAACATCTATCATCCTTATCTCCCCTTCTTCTTTTTTATGTTTGTTACTCTCTTGTAACACCTCTAATCTTCTGGCGCTCATATGACCTTTTACAGTTGTGATCGCCGTAAAACCTCTATTAAAACTAAAACTAAATGTTTGGCATTTATAAACCTTATTGTGTTGCAAGTGCAGTAAAACTCTTACTTAAAACTAAAATCTGGATGAAAATTCTCCAGTGTGGCTTTTAAGAATTTGTAATAGTGCCTTATGGGTTTGTATGAGTGGATGTGTGTATTTGTGCTGTGTGTGTGTGTGTATTATAGTGTATGTGTTCGTTTTTATTTATGCATATTTCCTCCTGTGTTTCTTAAAAGTAGAATATCTTATTTTGGTATCTATGTATAACGTCTAATATCTAGATCATGAGGGTAGGCACTTATTGATGTGTGGGTTTTTTGTACCTCCTGGAGTCATATTTCTTCTGTTTTCTTGTCCGATAGATGCAAGTGTGAGGAAGCACATTGATCTCTGCAAGGTTGCCATCAAGAAACAGGACAAGGAATTGTCGCAGAAATACAAAGCTATGTTCAAATCCTGACCTGATTAGAGTTCAAAATGAGTAAGGAAGATTAGTTGCTAGATAAATTTGAATGTGTCTTAATCCGCTCAGCTTTCCGTCAAAGAGAGTTTGATGGATTGGCTACGTGGCCTGATGATTCTTTTGCCATGAGAATTCAGGTTCAGTGAGTGGACTCTGCCTTCATCAAAATTTGGACCATTCAATGTTTATTAATGGTTTCCTCTCTGTCTATGCAAATTTCTGAGTTGCATGATCAAGGGACATCTTTGTTAGTGTGTATGAAGTGCTTTATGAATTATTATTGATAGTGTATGTAAAGAAGACAACTAACATAATGGTGGCTACAACGATGAACGCTCTTGCTTTCCGTTCCTTGTGAACCCAGAGTCATTATTATCCTGTGTGTTGAGTACTTTTTGATGACAAGAGATACTGAATGATGTGTTGACTGAAAATATCAAACATTTGTTATGTCTACAGGTCGAGCTCTGACTGTAATTTATCTCTATTTCTAGTAAGATGTTATAAACTATGTTTTATATACGTTGGGCATCATAGTGAAATCAGGCGCTCGTTGAACAAATGACATTTAAAAAATCTGCATTTTTCGGTCACTGGGCAATTTTTTTCTAATTTTCTTTTTTTGACTCAACACCTTTTATGTCCATTTAAAAACACATTTTTATGAGGATTTTTACAGAAAAACATTGATGAAGGGCACAAAAAAATGTAAATTTTCAGTTTTCAAAGACTCGCAGGCATAGAAGTTTCCTAAATTTGGCGGCCATTTTCTCACTAATTTTACCTCTGAAACCAGGTGACCTTGTCCTCCTTTCAATCACAAATATTTCGACTTTTATTCATCATGGATGAATGTTTTTTTCACCAAAAGGAAGGCAAATGAACAGGCTTTAAGATAATACCAATTACCCCGTGTATGCCCAAAAACTGGCGAGCGCCCGATTCCGCCTCGTCTTGACACTTATGGGTCAAAATTTCAGGTGGAGTACAGATTCTGTGACATAGCAACCAAATTTTGAAATGCTTGTAAATGACTTGAGGCTGAGACATAATGTTATTCAGGTTGAAGAGTATCATAAAAGAAAATGACAGCACTTTGTTAAAAGCCCTTCAAAAGATACGAGGGGTTCAATTTCAGGTACCGCGTAAGTTATGGAGAACACCGTCACACACAATACAGTATAGGAAGTCCACATAAATACCCAAAGAATATAACTCCGAGGGTTGAAATGAAACACTGGGACAGAACTGTTGAGCATCAGTTCAGATTTTGGCCAATGGCAATGAAATGACAGTTCCACGACCCTTTTACTTCTGGCTGTCGTGTAATATCATGCAAGTTACTGAATGCCAAGCTCACTTATACAACGTAAAAAAGTGTTATTACAGTCATTGTCAGAGGTATAAAATAGTACAAAGCACTACAATTTATTGATTACACTTCAACGAAAGTAATAATGACTGCATACAGGAATCTGACCGTGTAGTCTCACTTCAGAGAAAAGTTTGCAATAGTACTGAGTAAGTTACGGAACACCAACTTAACGCTATCCGTTCGTCGTGTTTTACTATCGTATCCATACGACGTGGGGAACTCTGTGCCCCCACTTTCCAAAGAGGAAATTTATTTGTTAATCCGATCCGTACGCTTTGCATAGCTGTTTGTCGAAATGATTTTTTGAAAAATACTGAAATTTTCAAAGAGATCTTCGCACTAGAATTATTCTGAAATGTGAGGAATACAACCCCTGGGGTACAAAATGACCCCAGGCGTACGGAAAGGGTTAACAAGAAACGAAAAAAAAGCAGCCTGTTTAAAGTCCCTATATATGCAAATGGAAACAGAAAGCACAATCATTAAAATCAAGCCTTTAAAACTAGCTTATGTTAAGCATCAATTAAAAAAAAACAATATATAATATCGTCGACCTTGTGATAAAACCGACTAACCCCAGCGAGGTAAATTTTACAGGAGAAGGAAAAAACTGTTTTATTTCAAAACAAAGGCGTCTAGCGATAAATCAATGCTTTAAACGCCTATAAAAACACTTTACCGAAAATCTGTAGACCTTTTTTTCCTTTAAAAATTGCTTTGAATGAAACTGCGTGGGTTAGACGGTTATGTCGCTCAAATTTTCCTGGATAAAACCAACCAACCCTCAATTTTGTGGGTTGACCGGTTTTATCAGGAAGCCACTGCTGGGCTTGAGTTTGGTTGAGTGCAGCCAAGCCACACTTGACGGCAACTTATTTGATCCGTTGTTTCAATCGTCGAGATCTTTTGTAGAAGAAGGAGAAGGAGGAGGAGGAGGAAGAGGGTGAGAAGGAGGAGGAAGAGGACGGAGTCAATTCGGGCAAAAACAGCAGTCACAAAGTTGAAACTTTAATAGAAGTAGAAGAAGCAGAACACAGCAATGGGTATATTAATTACATTTAAGGAAGAAGAACAGGAGGATCGAAGGGTAAGGGAGAGCAGCTACAGCAACTACTACAAAAACAACTACAACAACAACAAAAACAACAGTAGTAGCAGCAGCAGCAGCAGCAGCAGCAGCAGCAGCAGCAGCAGGCCTTTAGAATTTATGACAGTGTCTGACACGGTACGTACTATTGGCACTGGGTCGCCATTCAAAGGCCTGGAAAAAGGTAATACTAAGAAAGAAATGAAAGCAGAAAGCCACACAAAAGCTCTGCTACCTCAGCAATGGTTTGGGTTAAGTTGGTTACATAATGATATATTATTATTATACAAAAAGACTTTGTGAGTATCAAAGAATGCGCCAACTTTCTTCAAGGTGCGTGGCTTGACAACTACTACTTTATTGAGTTTTCTCAACGATAGAAGAGCATGTGTCTCACTCTGTGTCCTATGGCTACAACAAGGCAATACGACAAAGGTTACCTTTGTTTTGAAAGACTCTACAATAATCGAATTTGACTTAATCGCTTTCAAAACTTCTTACTGAGGCAAATTTTCATGGTAATTGTGGTAGCATCGTGGTACGACTGCCTTCAACTCCAGTAGATGTTTATACTGGTTGGCAGTTATCTTCAATCTGTCTTTGCAGAGAGGTCCAGCAGTAACCATCTTACACAGGGTGTTCAGCTTTCTTGGTCCTTGCAGCGCCTGCCATCCATCATCAAAGTTCAGCTTCTACTGAGTTTTCAAGTATGGAGTGTACTTTGATGCCTGCAAGTCAGTGACAGTAGGATCGCCTGCTTTTCTCCCTGGACAGATTGTTTATGCTCTCCGACCTTTGCGAAATCTTTGAAAAAGCTGTGGCCCAGGTACATAACTTCCTAGGGCCTGAGGATGCGTCTGGCTTTGAGCATGATGTTCACGTAGTCCATTGGGATGTATGTGAGTGCGTTTTTGAGTGATCGCTCAACAGTGCCATGGACTGAATCCACTTCCATTTGGGTATGGCCCTTGGTGAGAATTTCTGCTCAACTGTGATGTCAAACTCTTTGGCCAGCAAGGCGATTGCACTCACCCGGGTGGCTTTCTGTTTTAGTAGTTGCACCAATCAGTGCAGATGATGAAGTGGTTGAAGTCAGTCACTTGCAATATCAGTTAGTGAGTCAGACATGATGAAAACTGTTGAGGCTCAGACCAACTTCACTTTCATACTAGACATATCATCTGGCGTCTCTGGTAGCAAGATCCTAAATCGTAAAATTGTGTACAGCCAGTTTTGTTTTATAATATAAGGTGGATGTCTTTAGAGATGAAGGACGCACTGGATCTCCAGGCACTGGATCTCCATACAAAGGACACACACTTTTTTCTCTGGGTTCAGTGCAGTCTCCCTGTCCATCTCCTTCTCTGGTCCAGCTGCAGCTTTCCTCATATTCATATTTGATGAGCTGTGTATTCTGTTTCTGTGAGGTTTCCAGATTTGAAGCTGTACATATGTCGCACTGGTCTTTCTTGGTTGAAAGTAAACCCAAATTGTTTTTCTTTAACTTTTGGCAGAACACTTGATAGCTCAATGTGGCTTTCACCCTCTCTGCAAAGTTCTCCATGTATACTTGATGCAGATCTGACGTTTTCTGGATTGTCATCTGTAGACAGGAGGATATCTTCTAAAGTTTGTCAAAAAATTCCTCTTTATGGAACAACTTGTCATCCTTGGCTCTCTCATGGTGGGCGTGATGTGTTATGGGGGGGGGGAGGGGAACCTCTTGTTTCTTTTTTCGGAGAAGACACTTTCATGAAGATTGTTTTACAAACAGGTGTTCTTTGACCATTGACTCTTGTAAGTGGTATTGAAGGGTGTAATTTCTCCTTGGGTTTTCACTTGCTGTGTAAGATCTCTTTTTGTCTATCATGTTTATCGTGGCATATACGTAGGCTCTCTCTTCTTTCCAAGAGAGTGACCAGTGATGTCATTGCATTTTGTACCAACCAGTTTACAACTGCAAAGGACGTTGAGTTAACACCCTGCTCACTTCGTGCCTTGACATGGGTAGAGGCATCCCCAGTTCTTTCAACCTCTTCATTTTGTTACCTTTCCATTCGTTTTCATTCCGTGTCCTTTTTGCAGAGTCCTTTTTGCAGAGATCAAAGGTGACATAACTGTTGTATTGTGAGCTGATGTGACGTTGATGTGACGCCTGGTCACGTTGATCACTTTCCGCTGCGCTGAGGGTCAGAGGTGACGCAGCAAGAGTGGCATCATTTGATGAAATGATATAGCGTTATGTAAGTTAAGGTTTGATATAAAGATAAAGCATTATGTTATGACACTGAGAAAATAATCTACACAAAACACAAATGAAATGAACTTTCAAAGAAAGTCGAAAGATATTTCAGAAGGTAATGACTGCAATAAACGATGCAAATGAAAAAAAAAAAGAAAAAACACTTTAAAAAACAACGATCGTTGGTGGCAGACTGTGCTGGACAAGTCCCAAATTTTTTTTTCTGAGTGAGTTAGTAAAGAATGAAAAGCTACCGACTTCGTCCATTCAATTACGATGGAAAAATGGTAAGGAGAAGAGACAGTAGTCCGAATAAGGGAAAATGCCTTCATAATTCGGTAATTTTCAAGTACAAAGACAAAGAAGAACACGTGGACAGAAAAAAATAGTTTCATATAAAACAAAATCCAAAAAGATGCGTTCGAAATACCGGCATTGTCTTGTCACGAGATAAACAGTTCTGTGGGCACAGTGGGGAGTTTTAGTCATTAATAACATTATCAGCAGCATTAAAACGAAGAAATAAGAGGGAACTATGAGATCTATATAAATCCCAAATGAAACCAACAAGAAATATTCCACAAATTTCCCTTTTGAAGAGCTCACACGGTTACGTGAGCAAATTCTGGACTATCACACGAAGTCCGGAGACGAGTCGAAGTCGGGGTTAGTCGGTAACGTAGCACGAGGCCCCTCATTGTTAGCGCCACAAAAACAGCCAACCCTCATTCCCTCCCTCGCAGGTGGGATAGTCGGAAACATCGGGCTAAAATCCGATGGGTGCTGGGTTATACGGTTTTATTTCTAATGTTTTAAAGACATTTCAAGACAAAATTTAGATCTGACTTTAAGTGAGCATATGAAATGGACAATTTGCTATCGGTAGGGCCAATAAATTT